TTTCTGGCGTGCAACCCTCGAAACAAAACAACCAATGTTGATAACCACTCAGACTGTTTTAGCTGAAAACTTTTACTGGCTTGAAGAATATAACCCAGTCATTTTCAAGCAAGTTGAGAAAAAGAGTTTAAAAAACTATACTTAACCTAATTAAACCTTGTTTTATGTGTTAACTCATAGTGTTCCTCGGTATATGTACAGACCTGAATGTATAGCTTCAATAATGCAAGGCGGTATTCAGACGAGCTGCGTTGTCTATAACACGGAGTTGAAACAGTAAATTATGTAGACTTAATTCTAGGGACAAAAAAACGTTTTCGTTTAACATTTAATGTCCTTACAGTAAACAAGAACCACACCGTTAATGTGTTCTTGTATTAAGTATAAAGATGGAGTTTTTCCACAGTCCCTGCAAAAACACATTAGCTTTAATTTTGTGCTGTCAGTCATTACATAAGACTGCGTGGTCAGTGTCTTTTCTTTTTTTTTTTTTTTTTTGTTACATGCTCAAAACCTCAATTATTCTGCAAGCTAAGGCCTGAGGATGACTCATTCCTTTAATAACCACCCATAGTGTGTTTTACTTCCATGACAACTATCATTTTGTCAGGCTAGGTCTCGCATGCAAATGGTGATTGTCACATCGACCATTTATTCATGTTTTCAGCCATTCCCTCTTGCACGGTATAATTATCCGGACCCTATATTAACAAACCCTCCTTCACTTTGTGTGCTAGTTCGTTTTTTTATTATTTTAACAAACCAATCTGCTAAATAGGTTGCAGCTCTCGCTCTCTTTCTTCTCTTCTGACCTCTGTCTGGCTGTAATCTGACACCATACCTTCTCCCTGTCACCTGTAACATACCAGGAAGTAGAAAACCACAGAGATATTCCTTGAAAGCCAGAAATACAGTTTGTAGTTAAATAAATGATAACACACCCAATATAGTGAATGCAGGCATGAACGTTAAACGTGTTTATTTTGTGAGGAAGGAACTGGCATGTTCTGTATGCTGAAGTTCGAGTGGCAGTGTCTCCTCCTTGGTCAAAAACGCTCCGTCATGTAGCACCAGAATGAAAACACACCTGTTAAAGCCTCACCCTGTCACTACTGGTTTTTCAGAAACCCACAACAAAGAAACGGAGGAGCGATGGTTTCTATTGGAGACAGGGTCCACTTAAGCAGGCTGTGATCAGTCCTCAGCTTTAATTCCTTAATGGCTGGTTTGACCCTCTGGCCTCGTCTCTCTTTGTGAAGCTCTTGGCTCCGCTGATTGCATTAGTATTGGGCTGAACAGGCTAAAGGCTTTTGTCGCAGGCTACATTAGTGTTAATTCATTGTGTGCTTGTGTGTGTGTGTGTGTGTGTGTATGTAAGGCCATATGTATCTCTCCATATATGTGTTTGCAGTTGTGGGGCCATGTGTATCTGCTTGAGACATTGATTGAAATGATTATGTGATGCCTTGGGTGTGTGTGTGTGTGTGTGTGTGTGAGTGTGTGTGTGTGCGTGCGTGCGTGTGTGTGAGTACGTGTCTTTCTGTAATTGAAACCATTGTTGTGAGGACATCATGGTTAAGACTGGGTTTTAAGGTTCTGGAGCTGGATGCACAAAACACCTTAAGTTAAGATTTTCCTGAGTTAAATACAAACTGTTGCACAAAACACCTCAAGTCGTCTCCTTGAGATTTCCCTAAAATGTCCACACACAGTATTTAAGGTTTTCTCCTTATCTTAGTCTTATACTTAAGGAATCACTTAAAGTCAGTTAAACCATTGCACAAAAGACCTGAGCAACCAAAGTAATGAAAAAGGGGCAGTCAGGTCCCTCTGATGGTTGCGCTGAGTCACAGCGGTTCTTTGAGATAAATCTAAACAGGTTAACATGCTCACAGTGACAGTGCTAGCATGTTTATGTTCAGAAGGGATAATGTGTACAATATCCGCCATCTTACTTTAGCTTGTTAGTATGCTAACATTAGCTAATCAGCTCTAAACACAAAATACAAGTGAAGCTGAAATGTTTTGACATTCAGTCATAAACCAAAGTCGATTATGACCTGGTGGTGGCACTGGACGAAAAGTCTGGGGATCAAAGTTATTAAAGATTCATCCTCTGTGGATTATGAATGTCTTTACCAGATTTCATGCCAATCCATGAAACAATTGTTGAGTATATCAATAAAAAACTAAAAGGTGCTTGAGAAAAGTCAGAGGATCACCAAAGACTTTAGAATTCATCCTCTTGAGACCTTGAATATCTTTTCATGACAATCATTAAATAGTTGTGGAGATACTTCACTCTGAATATCAGTGGTGGACCAACTGATAAACAGACTGACTGTCAGCCTGACATTAGAACCGTGCTGCTGGCCTGGCTAGAATTGGGTGATAGCAAGAAGTGTTGATAACTAGCTGACTGGTGATGATAACAGCTGATTAACAAGGCTTCTCCCTGCATTATGGGAACTATCAGTTCAACCAGAGCCAAAGACACTACTTTGAGGTTTTTTTTCTCCTCTCCTCTCCTCTCCTCTCCTCTCCTCTCCTCTCCTCTTCTCTCCTGGTGTAATTAGGCCATATTCTCCTCCTTCCTCAGGCCTGATTATTATTTAGAGCAATAGATGCACCCCCCCCCTTCCATTTTCCTCCTCTTGTCACCCCCCTCCCCATCCACACCCACGTGTCTTATGTACATTTGCACTTGCTGACTTGATGTCTGTGTGAGAAAATGTTTCCCGTATGCACCAATAAACCCATCGTTCATCCGTTGGATCCCCTTCTTATCCTTTGCTCTGCTGCACTTTCCCTGAATACATCTTTTTCCTTCCACTTTCCCTTCTTTCTATCTTTGTCCTTCTCACTTTCTTTCTCATCGTCTCTCTTTTCTCTCTCTCTCTCTCCCTCTCCCCTCCCTGTTGTTTTCTCTCTCCCTTATCCTGCTTTCCTGCCTTCATCTGCTCAGTATCAGCCCCACAGACTGTTATGTAACAGTCAGGTGATGTGTTGGCCAGTTGAAGGGCCTTAAAGGCCTACTGCCCTGACACACACCTTCTTCTCCCTGTGCTTGTAACTGCTAGCCTCTGCCTCATCGGTGTGTGTGATTGTGTGTAAGATTTGTCACATTTAAAAAGACCAGATTCTACATCAATTTGTAATCAGGTTAGAAGATAATCTGTCAGTTTCCTTAAACATCTATTTGATAACCAGTTTAAGAAAATCATCTGAAAAAGTTTATGCCTATAGACAAAATGTCAAAGTGCTAGAGGGCCTAAACCCGAAATAACTTTAAATTTATGCTTAAAAACTTACAGGTATTCATCTGGCTTTACATCATCACTGCCGACTTAATTCCACTGCAACTAACTGCTATTTTCAATTTCAATCTTGTCAAACTACTCACATCTTTGGCTTTGCAGCTGTGTTTTTGTTGAAGCACTTAATGCAAATTTAATAATAATTATTATAAAACATTTTATTTATAAACACCTTTCAGGACACCGAAGGACACTTTACATAAAGTGTAAAATAAAAGCAAATAAAAACATTCAGAAACATAGATACACACATACACACTAGCACGCACACACACACACATACAGGTATATACATATACAGTGTATATATATATATATATATATACACACATCATTTACGATTCTTGAATCCAGAGACAAATAAAAGCCTCTTTACCCCATATCTGCAACATCACTGGTCAAACATGCCATAAAAATCATCTTAAAGACAGAGAAGGGTAAAATTAAAAAATTACAAAATAAAAGCAAACAACAGAGTGAAAGTCCTGTGTATGAACACCGTTTTGAACTTCGATGAATGAGACCTGTAAATCTGTTTCAACTCCTTAAAACCCAACGAGGACAAACAGCAGAGCTGCCTGGTGTTGGGCCAACAAGATGAGTTTTGTCATCAGTGTTTGGTAGAAGGTCTAGCAGCATGAGGTGACCATATGGTGTAACTTCTCCTGCCAATGGGTGTTTACTTTTAATCTCTTTCCATCTACCTTGACTTTCCTTCTTTTTTATTCTCGCGCACACACAGTAGCTTCATGTTCACAGAAAGATTATCAAGACAGTGTGGCTCCTCAACAGTATGACTCCTGTTGAAGATGTCAACTTAAATGCCAGAAACGTTCATGTAAGCACAGTGCGAATGCCTACATGAATTAGCTATTTCTAACAAAAGTAATTATTTACACCTACTGTATTCCCACTGGGCCTCCCACATATTGCCTGCAGGCACATTACAATGGTACATTGTTTTCATGAGTCACGAGCACACTCCTTGTTTGATTATGCATCATTCAAACAGGTTGTGTACATCTTCAGCACATGAATTCTTGTCTGTTTGTAATAGTGTGGTTAAGAATGTTACGGAGCTCATGGAGTACAGAGAAGAACACTTTTCACTGTCAGGGGTGAGGTCTTTGACTTCCACATGAAATCAGTGCATCTAGATTAAAATCATCCTCACAATGGCACAGATTTTATTATCTTGAAAATCAAAAAACAACATTTTGAGTTTAATAATAAGCAATTTGGCAAATTGTACTTTATGCGTATGATTTCAAATATATCCAAAGAACTGCTTTGTTGTGACATCACAAAGTTGCAGAAGTCCTGACGGCTGGTTTTAAGGCTCAGTTTCTGAATACAGGCTGTGTGCATTTCTCTGTGGACTGAGGCTTTGATACTTTCACAGTATTAATATAGAACCTAGACCTGATCTAGAATCACACAACACATGGACATCTACCTTTATACAATGTGGGACCTTTTAAAGTTGCTGTTTCAACATGGCAAAATATCACTGTGTATTTTATGTTTAATAATTGCTGAAAGCATAAATCATAGTGTATATCATTATGATCTTCCATACATTTTTAAAACAGTATTTTTGACCAACAATGTTCTCTTTCCCCTCCATCTGTCTCTGCCTCCAGGTACTGATATTTGCTGAAGATGAGTAGTGGGAGGGGGGACACCCCGGAACCCCCTAAAGGGGGAGACTCTCTGAAGAGGAAGGACTGTCATTCAGACCTCCTGGGGCCCAGGTGAAGACCTTCATCCACTGTCCACAGTCCCAGTACATCCTTACTGTAACACCAATAAATCCTCACTTTAGTATCAAAACATGCCTCCTCCCAACAACCACAATACTTCAGTACAATAATGATGCTTCCGTAGCTCATAATATCTTCAGAAACAGGAGCTTCATAACACTGCACTGTTCAATCAGTCATTAATTATGTGTCTTATTCTGATCCTTCTTCTAAGCTCCAAAAACATGTCAAATAAGTCAAATATCTAATCAGTAATTTGTAATAATCTTCTTTCATAAAAAGTTTGTTTGTGGGTCTTTTTTTGTAAAAAGGTTAAAAAGGATGACGTTTTATTCAAGGAGATAAAGAGAGGACAGACAGAGAGAGAGGTTAGTGTGGTTTGTGGGTCGAGGCTCTTGCAGGTTGATGGAAAAAAATGCTGCCGCAGCATTTTTACAGACAGTGGTTTATATAAGCGTCAACGAGTTGTGCTTTCTGATCTGGGAGGATGTATGAAGGTTGTAGTGACGAGATACTGAGGTTATAATGAGGACAGATGAATGTTGTAGCTCAGATTGCAGCGAGGTTGTGAGGAGGTCAACTTGCTTTGAGAGTGAGGATGTCTCAGTGTTTCCCAAAAGACAAAATAATAACTGCACACACTTGTGCAAGGAAACATGATTTTCAGCAATGTTATGGGAGTATTTTTGATGTTCAGTTGTCCTAATGCCAAACACTAACCTAATGCTAGCACATCCAACTCAAGCAAAAACAAGCGTAAAACAGCAAATCTTCAGCTTGTACCATATAAAAGGAAATTAAAAGTCTTCATTTAAACACTAGATTTGAAATTTGGATACTTGACAGTGAACTATTTAGATACTCATCTTCTTTTTCATTCTACGTCCAGCCCGAAGAGGAGCACTGAGAGGAGGAACCGGGAGCAGGAGAACAAATACATCGAGGAGCTGGCAGAGCTGATCTTCGCCAACATCAACGACATGGACGACCTCAACGTCAAACCAGACAAATGTGCCATCCTCAAAGAGACGGTGAAGCAGATCAGACAGATCAAGGAGCAGGGTGAGTATCTACTCTTGTTTACACCCAATATAATTATGATTGAATGTTGTTGAATTGACTGTTTTAGCTTGGATTGTTGTTTGAGCTTGGCCGGCCCGGGCAACATTAACATGCATACTTTTTCTTCTTCACCTTCTCATTGTCCTGTGACTCACAGTTTTTGAGCCGTATACTGTAACCACTGCATCAATCATGCAGCTAGATAAAGGATGATGTGCTATGACTCAAAACAGTGAAAATCCCCAGGTGTCTTGATGAATGCTCTTATTGAACAGGAATGGTCTAACTGACTTTTTTTTTTTTCTTTTAATCCTTTATATCTGTCTTTAAACTAGAAACTTAATTCATGCACTAAATGGTTTGCAGCAGTTTGGATGTTACTGGCATCATCTTTTTGGTCTCTCTTGATGAGATTTTTTTCACAAATTATTATTATCAGTTAGTGCCAGTGTTGTCTGAGATATTGGATATTAGGGATTGACAGACAAATATATCAATAAACACAAAAAGGTGTGTATTCCAAAGTTATATATTTCCAACTACAACATGTGTGTGGAGCAGCTAATTTAAAGGTCCAATATTTTAAACATTTTAAGTCCTGACGGATAGTTTCAAGGCTCAGTTTCTGAATACAGGCTGTGTGCATTTCTCTGTGGACTGAGGCTTTGATACTTTCACAGTGTTAATATAGAACCTAGACCTGCTTTATAATCAAACCACACATGGACATCTACGTTTAGACTATATGGACCTTTAAACTCTGAATCTTCTTCTCATTTAGTTTCTATTTGTTTGTCCTATTGAGACCTTTCTTGATAAAGTAAGAGGGACTTTAATTGTATTTGTTTTTTAATCTGTGTGTCCTTTGTAGTTTTTCTCTCTAACTTGCCAGTGTCATATTCTGCATGAAAACATATGGAAAGATGCTGCAGGCACAAAATGAGGATGTGTTTTAAAAGCAGTTATGTAGGAGTCGTCTACATTAGCAGAGCTGGCATGAGCTGAGAAGCTTCGAAAGAAAGAAAGAAGCTATTAACATGGAACTTTTTTTCTCTCTGAGACAACTACTTTGTGATGAAAGAGAGGCTTTATTCATGATTCTCACAACCACAAGCATGGAAAAAGTGCTGGAGGAGAGTGTGGTTGCTGTGGACGAGAGGACTCTTAGATAATCTCATGTCTGTATCAAGCTAAGCACTGTCATCACATCCACTCAGCAACAAATGAGACGATAGGGGAATAACTTTGTTTCGGGCTCCTCACAGGTTATACATTTTCCAAACCCCGTTTATATGTGTGTGTATGTGTGAACACAACCTAAATTTGCGGCGTGAACCAAAACAAAAAAAAAAATTAAAAACGCCACCAACTGACTAGAAAAGACAAAATGTGACTGTGATAGCACCAGCAGAGCCTCTTTTTTAACATTCATTAAACACCTAATGGAGTGTTTGATCACAGACACACACACAAAATGAAAAAAACTAAATGAAATGTAAAGAGAAATGTGTGTGAGTGTTAACACAGACTCTGTAATGAAGATGTGTGATGATGATGGTGAAGAGGCAGACTGAGACAGAGCTGTTATGTAACACTGACCAACATGATGTGAGTGTGCAGAGGAAAGCAGGCAGATCTGAGTTTCCTACCTCCTGCCAGTCTTCCCTATTCTCTCCTTCCCTTCACCTTCCTTTCCTTTCACCTTTCCTCCCTTTTCCTCTCTGTCCTCTTCTTCTTCTTGTCTTTTTCTTTCTTCACCCCTCCTGTGTCCCTTTCTTCCTTCCTATTTCCCATTCCTGTTCATCTTTCATTCTTCCTTTCCTTTCCTTTCCTTTCCTTTCCTTTCCTTTCCTTTCCCCTCTCTCCTCTCTCTCTCCTTTTTCTTCCCTCTCTCACCATCCTCCCTCTCCTCCTTTTGTCAGCCAGTCGGTGTCCACATGTTGTGGCACTGTTTGTGTCTGAAAACAACAGCTGAATAAGCAAGCATACGCACACACACACACACACACACACACACACACACACACACACACACACACACACACACACACACACACACACACACACACACACACAGATAGATAAAGCACAAGTCACACAGCTGTCTCTTCAACTTTCAGACACACACTGTTGTCCAGCAGCCACAGTATTGAACTGGTGAGGTGGATCTGACACAATATTTATTAATTTAAACAAAGTCTACACAAAAATAACATCAGTAGCCTCATTTTGTGCTACAAAAAGGTCACCTAGTATAAAAGAACAAACACACACACACATGTGCGCGCACACACGTACGTAAAAGCAAATAGCATTGTGCTTGTGTGTATGTGGTGGTCAAAGGACTTCAGGTGGCAGGGTGTGTGTGTTTGTATGTTCGTCCCACAGAAACTTCAGGGTCAGGTTATAGAATAGGAGACGAGTGTGTTGGTGTGTTTATGTGCTTACAGTGCGATTTCTGTCTGCTCACAGTCTCCTCTGTGCTCAGACTGTTTGCTGGAAAGTAAAACCTTTGCAATAGTAGTTAATAACGGTGTGAATGCGTAACAGCACAAAACTGTAACCACAAGTGAAATCAAAACAATTGTAGGAGTATATTATTCCCGTCATACACAGGCAACTAATCTCCGGTGTAAAGGGATGACTAAGGATTACTTTCATTCTTGATTAATCTGACAATTATTTTTGCTATTAATTCGTTAATCCATTGTATTACTGGCTAAAATACTTGCTTGTTTGGACAAATGGTCCAAGATGCAAAAATATTCAATTTACAGTGAAATAAAACCAAGACAAGCAGCAAATCTGTGCATTTGAAAAGCTGGAACAGGGGATTATTTGTCATTTCTTCGCTTGCGTAATAACTCACTGTAAATAATGAATGAATTAACTAAAGTGTTGCCAATTCATTATCCGTTGACTGATCATTTTTTATAACTGATTAATCCAGCAGGGTGAACCCCAGCTCTAACCCGTTCGCTTCAGGTCCCTGCTGAACTGACTGTTTTGAAGTTGTTGCAGCTTACACATTTATTTAGGATATTTAGAAAACAGATCCCATCCACTCGATATCAGTAGCTGAACAGATCTTTGGTTTTTTTTTTTTGTTTGTTTTTTTTTCAGCCCAGTTTGTTCAGGCTGAACCGCTGGTCAAGGTATCAGCTTTTTGTTCTTAGCCGGAAGCATAAGGTTTTTAGAGTTAATGAGCTGTGCATTTGTAAAAACTGCAGACTGGAGCATATGCAATACTAAGCTGCTAATAAGCTATTCATACGCAAGTTAGATTGCCAACGACAGCGCCACATTGTACAGTGCAGTACAGTTTCTGCACATTAAGTCCAGTTTCTACATTTCTTCTTGCTTTCCTCTGGTTTTGTTTTTGCTGTGACTTTCATCTCTGTCCTCAACTTGTTAAAAAGTCACTCAAAAATCCTTTTGAGGCAAATTTATTAATTAAAAAAACAAAACAAAACATGTACTGCGACTTTAATACCCTTCAACCTACATGACAGCCACTCCAGGCTCCACAGTGACAGGGTTTAAGGGCTGATGACTCTGTACAGCTCTGGTCCCACAACAGGAATGTGAGCTATGTGGCCTAATGGGGCCATGGGAGGCTTAACAGCGCAGTGGTACAGCCAGGGAGGAGAGTAGAGACCGGCCTCTAATATGCCTATAAATGTGTGTAATGTAGCGCACATTAGCTCGGTGATACCTGCTTTCTACGACATCCTAGGCAGAGTGGAGTTTACAGTTTACAGTTTACAGTAGCATAATGCTAAAGTTTGGGTGAGTGACGGACTTGCCGATGAATACAATCAGTGAAAGGTCCTCATGTGCATGAAAGTGGTTGAGTGGGTGTGTCAGTGTTTTCCAGGAAAAGAAAATACTTGCTAAGAGGCCGAGCTACAACACAAGCTGCATGTTCCAGGAAGACAAACATACTTTGATGGAGAAACATACAGTCATTTATTTCATTTGAGCCTTTTTTGATGCTCAGCATAAACCTTTGACATGGCCACATCAGAGACATCAGAGATCATCAATGAGTCACTAAATTCCTTAAAACACATTGTGAAGGTTTCTGTTTCGCCTAAGATGTGGGTTGTACTGCATTTATTTAAAATGCAGCCAGGAGTGATTTTAGTGGCATTTTTCACTCCCGTGTTTTTTTCTTGTCTTTTACAGACAAAGCTCCAGTGGCTGATGCTGAGGAGGTGCAGAAGGCCGACGTCTCCTCCACAGGTCAGGGCGTCATTGATAAAGATGCTCTCGGGCCCATGATGCTAGAGGTGGGTTCAACCAAGCTGTGGTCAGCAGCCTCCTCTTTAATTGTTTGTTTTAAAGCTCCATATTTTCATCTTCTCCTGTGCTTTATTTGAAATGTTGATGCATAAGAAGATATATTTGTAGTTTTAAGAACCAAAAAACCATCTCAATGTAGTTTTACATCTCCTCTCTCAGGCTTCTCTCTGGAGCTCTAACAACAACAGGTCATTGAGCCAATCAGAAGAGAGGAGGCTCTGAGCCTCTCCTCTGACTGGCTGACTGTTTTCTAATTGAGCAAATATAAATATAGCAGATTTCAGGTAAACACTCAGAGAAACCAAATCCTGCATCCTGCTTGGATGGTGGGTCCAGGCGGGCCTCTGTGGACTGAGCACTCTGATACTTTCACAGTATTAATATAGAACCTAGACCTGCTTTATAATCAAACAACACATGGACATCTACCTTTATACTATATGGGACCTTTAATTAAATAACTGCATGTGTCAAAGTGAAACAGCACGACGCATGATTTTCTATGAAAAAAAGGGATTGTGGAGCTCTTCACGCTGCCATCACAGCAGTGCAACTGTGGCAAAAAATACAAACCCTGAAAAAAGTAAATCTGTCATCAGTCAGGCTGCAAGTGCTTCATGCAGGTTGTCGTTTGAAACACAATTAGAGCGTCCTTCTGACTTTAAATGGTGTTGCACTCTACGGTGACGCAGAGAGATAAGAGTTCCCCTGGCTAACGGCAGTGGCGTCATGAAGCCTACACTAGTGTGTGTGTGTGTGTGTGTGTGTGTGTGTGTGTGTGTGTGTGTGAGTGTGTGCGCACGGGTGTGTGGTGACGTATAACATGGGACCCAATGAGGTATAAATACCTTACTGAAAAGCCAGATTAGAATAGGAGGGGAGGAGCCTGACCACACACACACACACACACACACACACACACACACACAGGATAAATATAGCTTTCGTCAGCCGTAATATTGGCTGAGGTGTCTGCTTGGAGTCTAAAAGATAAACATCATTGTAGCCAAGACCCTTTTAATTCAGTCCATTTCTCATCTATTCTATTCTGTTCTATTCTCCACCAGCTGGGGTGATAAGCAGGCAGACTTACAGTAGGAGGCTTGTGTGGACATGTGGCAGGCTAAAGGACAAATCACAGTCTGTACATATAGGTGGAAAATGCTGAGTTGACAGGAGTGAAAGAATGGAAAAACACACACACACACACACAAAAACTGCAAAACTTCCCGAATTAAAATAGCCAGATTTGTTTTGAAAGGGGCAAACGTTTTGTTTCTTGTTCTTTCTGTACCTCAAGCGTTGGGTAGAAAGCTCAGATGAACTTTAATTAACATCCAGTCTCTCCCATTTCTCCCTCTCACCCTCTTCTCTCCCTTTTCCTCTCCTACTGTTGGCCTTACGCATTTCCTCTAATCTCCCTCTACCTCGTCTTTGCTCTTACCTCTCGCTCTCTCTTCTTCCTTTTTCCTCTTTCCAAACTCCTCCTCTTTGATTTTGACATTTCCTTTCCACCTTTCGGCTCTCCACCTCTCCCGTCCCTCAAACGATCTCCTCTTTCGCCTCCCGCCCTCCCACTTTCTCCTCACCCCTCAGGCTCTGGACGGCTTCTTCTTCGTGGTCAACATGGAGGGCAACATCGTGTTTGTTTCGGAGAACGTCAGCCAGTACCTGCGCTACCAGCAGGAGGAGCTGATGAACACCAACGTCTACAGCGTGCTGCATGTTGGCGATCATGCCAAGTTCATCAAGAACCTCCTACCTAAGAGCCTGGGTAAGAACTACAGAAAAGTTAACTGGAATGTGGATTTCAGATTTCTCGCCACCATATTGGAGGTGGTCATCTTCTGCAGCAGTCCTTATTTGTTTTTTTTCCTGCTTTTGGTCGTTCTGGCTTCACACATCTAATAAACTCATGTCTTGTAGCAGGTGGTAGCCAGTAGTTGCTTGTCAACAGCATTACCCGCTGTTGTGGTAGTTAGCGAGCTACAGTGTGGTCAGGTCAAATTTGCTGACTCCTCAAGTGACAATGTAAAGTATTTTTCTGTGGACCTTTTGAGCTTTGACACATTTCCAAATGTAAACTATGGACATGAGTTTATTCTATCAAAGCCACATTTGGAAACTGAATTTAAAAAGTGAAACACTGCTGTGAAATGATCGTTTCTCTAATTCGAACTGCCCTCAAGTTTAATTTTAAGTTTAAGCGTGGGATAAGTCACATCACTTTACACGAACAAGGTGTTAGCTAGCTGTCAGGGCCAGTAGGTTTATTTAGCGAAGCACACAATGGTGACATTATCTTATTCTTGCTCTCCAACAACCTCTGTCTTTACAAGCTTTCAGACTCAAAGAAACACAATGGGCCGATATTACAAACTAATAAAAATGATATATGGAGAGCCCAAAAAGAGGCGCTGTTTCTGGAAGCTGAACCTTTCAAATATACAGCAAACTGACTAAATGCATATGGATTTTCAGTTTCCAATATGTTATTATCCCAATGTTTTTGACAAGACTTTCTCTGGACCTGTGTCACTTTTATTATATTAGTGTGCGATATCAGAAAAAAATGGAAAATTGGTGAGAACCCATGTTTAGAATGTGACGTAGCTTCCCAGAAGTTCAAGGTTAAAAACTGCATAGACATGAACCAGTTGTGTCTCGTCTTATTGAAACACCAGATTGCTTTGAGTAATCAGCTGTTAGCAGCTGTTCGTGCCAGATAGGATACCGAAACTTAATATTAAACATGATGGCTACTTCTAATGTCCTGTCTTTGGACTGGTGTGTGTCTTTATCTTCCAGTCAATCATCGGAGCGGCGACTCATCCAACAGGAACAGCCACACCTTCAACTGTCGTATGTTGGTCAACCCTCACGTCGACGGTGAAGCTCGGCCGACCTCTGACCAGCAGGACACGTCGCATCAGAAGTACGAGACCATGCAGTGTTTCGCTGTGTCCGAACCCAAGTCCATCAAAGAGGAGGGGGAAGGTATTGTCTTTAACTTAACTTTTTGGAGACACTTTGTGTCTTTTCCCTCTGCTGTTTTATTCAATCTTTTTCTTTTATTTCAGTCTCTTATCTTTTTTATTTTTCTCTCTCTCTATTTTTCGTCTTTTTATTCTTCTTTTACATTTTCCCTCTCCACCTGTCTTTTTTTTGTTGCTTCCCTTCCTCCCTCCTTGTTTTAATGTTTCAATGTGATTTTGTCTCTCTGTTTCTATTTGTTACGTCTCTCTATTTTAGTTTTGCCCTTCCACACCTACATGTGTTTTTCTTACTGTTATTTTCTTCTCTCTCCTTACCTCCATCTCTTCCTTGACTTTCTGTCACTCTCCCATCACTCTCTCCATCCCCCATCGTCTACTCTCTCGTGTCCTGTCCTCCTTTCATCACCACTCCTCTCCACTTTTCCTCCCATCCATCGGGAGAGACTAATTAGTGTGTGGCACTTTGTCATCTTCCCATCTTGTCCTATCACACGCACATACACACCAGGGAAAAGAATCTTTCTGGCACTCTAATTTTAGACGTCTGACAACCAGATATTGTGCCAATCTCTCCCCTGACAAGGAGGAGGATGTCTGCTGGACAGACTGAGGGCTGCAGGTTGAGACTGAGGTTTAGGGTGACTTTTAGATAGAGGCTTCCACTCTCAGCCTTGAAATCGATGTTGACGCTGCTGTTGTGTTAATTAAACATGTTTTAGCATTGAGGTCATAGTTAGTGATGGTGTTTGACTGGTCTATATTATATTTAGAGGTGTTTCTAATGTTTTCTTTGAGACATGTACATTACACAGGTACAGACAGACAGGTTGGGAAATGGAGCAAACCTGTTGCCTTTTGTTTTTAATGAGGGAAGCACTGAAGCTGTAACAGGTGGGGAGATAGAACAAGACCGCCCAAGAGAGGGAACGTGAGCTTGCAGTTACTCACAAATGCACAGAGAGTGGTAGGGGGGGAAAAAACACACTCATAGTTGAAATCACATACATATATTTGAGCTATTTTTGCAAATTTTTCAGATTTCCAGTCTTGTCTCATCTGCGTGGCAAGAAGAGTCCCCGTCAAAGACAGACCGGTGATGCCCACGTACGAGAGCTTCACCACACGGCAGGACCTTCAGGGTATATTATACTATCTATTAATGTTGTGTGATCAATGTAGGTTAATGCGGTAGCTTGCCAATATATAATGGTGTTGTCCACATCCTGTACGATAAGTATGTTGTTTTTGGAAAACCTAACCAGTGTGTGCGAGGCGAAGCAGCGCGGTGGATGCTTGCTGACGTAAGGGCTAGAGCTCTGCTCCACAACATCTAAAACATATCTGCTCTGCCTGTCCAGGTAAGATCACATCACTGGACACCAGTCTGCTGCGGGCATCCATGAAGCCGGGCTGGGAGGACCTGGTTCGACGCTGCATTCAGAGGTTCCACCTGCAGAATGACGGAGAGATGTCCTTTGCCAAAAAGCACCAACAAGACGGTGATTATCTAAACCCAGTGGAGGCAAAACATGTTGATTGTAGCTTTGTCAAGTTCCCTGAATCTTTTTTTTTTTTCTTTTTCTTTTTTTTAACCGAGTTGACCTGTGCTGTTTGCTACAAAGCAGATTTATTGTGGCGTTTTTCAGTACTCAAGAATGTCTTTAAGGTATCAGTGGTTGGAAAAGAATAATCCACTTAATATCCTGTTTTTATTATCAGCAAAATAATTTCAACACTCTTTTGTTCAACTTCCTTCTTTGTGTTCACAGCATCCTGTCTTGCTCAATTATCTTCAATTGTGCTGTGAAAAAAAAAAAAAAAGATTTATAGATATTTCTCATAGAAATCGTGACTATTTGTCTGTTTCTGCCGTTCCAGTGTTGAGGAGCGGCCACGCGCTCAGCCCCATGTACAGGTTCTCCCTGGCGGACGGAACCATCGTCTCCGCTCACACCAAGAGCAAGCTGGTCCGATCGCCTGCCACCAATGAACCACAGCTCTACATGTCCCTGCACATCCTGCAGAGGTAACCAGCCGTTCTGTCTCTGCTGTGATGTATCCATCTTGATTAAAAAAAAAAAAAAAAAAACTTGTATTGCGTTGGAAAGTGAGTGATGGTGAGTTATAGATTAATTCAGTCCAACAAAGAAGAAGAAGAAATCTTTTGTGCATCATCCAAGCGTCTATATATGAAAGGTTTTATCAAGGTTCTCAATTTTTTTTACCCTTGTGGGTTTCAAACCTCTTTTACTTTACTTTTATATGTCTCTACTTTACGTTACAGTAAAATTTACCATATGGTTGAGTTCAAATCGCTGTAAAAGAGCGCATGTTTAAGTTCCTTGAGCTCTCGTCACATTCCCAATTTCAGCCCAAATTTTGCACATCATAGAAAAACTATCATTTCAACACATAGATATAGATATTATTTATAGCACATCTCTCTTCTTTCTCCTTCAGATCTGTGTGTCTATCACATGTTCTCTCTCAGTGTTTGTGGTTTCCCCTTCGTTTGGACCTGGGGGTGGGGGCCGGGGGTCACTGCCCTGAACAAAGGGCCTGTTATTCACGACTGCAGCCATATGTATAGACCAAAACTGACACAAGCGCTACCAGCCAGTTCAGTCTACAGAGCCTCCATCCCTTCCTCCCACCACTGGGAGCGACTGCGACTCAACCAGCGTCCAGCCGTTGGTATGACCGTTCAGAGTCAGGAATTGGACAGCGGTCAGAAAACAATGCCAGGACTGTTACCCAGAGCATTCAGGGATCAATGGCGAGAACTTGGCCTTTTTACTTCCACAAGTTTCACATTCAAATTTATCGCTCCAGTATTCAGCACAATGAGAGCTTTGTGTGTTTACTGTGGGGCCGAGGCCGATCCATGTTGAAAGCTCTCTCTCTCTCTCTCTCTCTGTTACAGCTTTAGGACCCGTTACAACTTTGTTTTCTCAGTTGTGTACACTGCTTCAGAGCTGCTCTCTATTTTACTTTATGACATGACTAATTGACGCTGAAAAGAAAGGCTGTTACTTAACCTCTCCATCGTGTGCTTTTTTTTTAACTGACTCCGCATTGCTATTCACCACTTTCAGTAGACATTTGCTGAAATTCACCAGCGAGAATATCACTTTTAGTAACTGCTGTCACCTTTTTTTTTTTAACAGGTGGATATAAATACAGTTTTATACGAATTATTACACCAAAAATCACAAACAAACAAACTACTCAAGGTTTCCATTTCTCACTTCCTAGATTTTTTAGCTGTCAGTTGTTTGTCGTTGGTCTTTTTGAAGTTTTTTTTCTAAGTCAAGAATTATGTTCTAAAAGTGGCTAAAACCTAACACAGCATTGCAAAAGCAAATAAGCCATGGTATAAAGAGAATCTGACTGGTGCAACAGTTGTGAAAGACTTTCCTGCTATTAGCTGTTTGGTGTTTAATACGTTCCGCCTTGTAACCAACTAAGCAGTAATTGTGAGGAACTAGAACGTCATGATACCAAAAAGTCAGATAAAAACATTCCTATCTACTATATGTAAATGAACAACTGATGGTTTCAGTTTGATTAGAGATGCTAATTTGTTGTCAAGTGGCCTTGATTAAATAGGGGTTATTAGGAAAAGAGTATGTGCACATTGGATTATATATTAACTTTTGTAGAATGAATAAGTAGTGTTTCCACCCTACCTGGTCTGCAACAGGTGAATGGCAAAATGACAAAGGGAAAGATTTAATAAACCTTTAGTACCTTAACGATACTTTGTGAAAATACATTTTACATAGAGAATGTGTAAGAAAAATACAAAACAGCATAAATAAAAAATATTGTTCAAGACTCCCCCCTTAACCAAAAACTATTGGTTCAACTTGTAGGTTTTGTCTTTCATATATTGTGTATTGTTTTGTCAAGCCTTATTTTCTCAGGGAAGAGTAATTACCTGTGTTGTTTACTAACAACACCACACTCAAAATTGTCTGAATCTTTTTATTTATTTCTCTATTTCTCTTTTATTCATTCATTTATTTGGATCCCCATTAGCTACTGCCAAGGTAGCAGCTACTCTCCACTCAAGTAAACATTACATCATCATGCAAAACAATGTGAATTAAAATCGAACACAAAAAAGGGAACAACAACAAATAACATCAAATGCAAACACCAGTAAAACTACTAATAACGATAATAACAGCAATGACAAGTACCCAAGCTTCTTCATTAATGATCATATAGTCAGATATTATGAAGCAAAACATGTCCTATTTGTCGAGGGGCTGGTGTTCTGTGCCACAAGAAATTTCTTTAAGCCCTTTTTAGAAACACTTTTACTTGTTAAATGTGAAATATCTGATGGCAAACGTGTGTCTTGTTTCTTCCTCTTCCAGGGAGAACATGGGTGGCATGAATGCGGATGCGCCAGGTGGGCAGGGCATGATGAAGCCGATGACCCCGACCAGTGTGAGCGGTCCCTCCCCTTCCCCTGACGCCAGTGTCACCAGCAACACCCACCACTCCATGTCGGCCTCCAGCACCCCTGGACGCGGTTTTGGGGCTGCGTCGGGTCGGGCACCCACGCCTCAGGGAAACAACCACGCACTCAAGCTGGGCAGCCCTTCAGCCCAGGGAAGCCCCAGTGTCACCTCAGGGGTCCAGGGTGCCATGTTGTCTCCTCATCACCAGAGCCCCAGCATGGCAGCGAGCAGCAGCAGCTGCAGTAGCCCTCACCTCCCCCAGCATCCTCCTGGGTCGTTCTCTCCTGTAGCCGGCCTCCACTCGCCAGCATCTGTGTGCAGCAGCACAGGAAACGTCCAAGGGTTCAACTCCCTCAGTGCACTGCAAGCCCTGAGCCAGGGCCACAGGGTCACCCAGGGACTCACCGAGGGGCAGCATCCAGAGTCACCTGACAGGAAGCCAGATGGCCTTCAGAGCCCTCTTCACAGCAGCAGCGCTGGAAGCCAACGAGCCAAGAACCATCCTAGCTTAGAGGTGGATTTGTTTGGAACTTTTGGTGAGCAGCAAGACCTGTTGTCCCAAAACCAGGAGGGTGAGCAGGGGGAAGGGAAAGACGGTGACCCAGATGGCTTTGGAGGTAATGGAGGCCTAGGCGAGCTTGGTGACAACCCAAACCGCCTTCTTAACACCAAAGGGCACACTAAGCTTCTCCAGCTCCTCACCACCAAGTTAGAACCCTCTGATCCTGGCTCGCCAACGGGGCCCCTCGGGGACGACCAAAACTGTAAGGACCAGCTGGGCAGGATTGGGGGTGTAGGTGGGGCTGGGCATAACAACTACTCCACCTCGTTAAAGGAGAAACACAAAATCCTCCACAGGTTGCTGCAGAACAGCACCTCACCTGTGGAGCTTGCCAAGCTAACGGCTGAGGCTACCGGAAAAGACCCCATCGGTCCTGAATCAGCTACAGGGGACAACATGGCCGCCCTGGGTGAACTCTGCGCAAAACAGGAGCCGGGGAGTCCCAAAAAGAAGGACAACGCATTGCTACGCTATCTGTTGGATAGGGACGATAACGGCATCCTGGATAAAGCCATTAAGATGGAACCTGCCGATGGACCAAAGCTGTCCAACATTAAGACAGAGAAACAGGAAGTGGGGTTCAACATGCCGGACCAGGTCAGTGTTGTTTACAGTAATATTCATGGCTAGTGAAGAAAATTATTATTATTATTTTTATTATTAAAAAAACTAATTTCAATGAATCATTGAAGTAATTTATAAAGCAAAAATTCCAATTGCTGATTTTCTGGGTCCATTATCTCAAATGTGAGGATTAGCTGCTTTTCTCTGTTTTATTTCATTGTAAACTGAATATCTTTGAGTTTTGGGCTGTGGGTCAGATGAAATAAAAAATCTGAAGATGCTACCTTAGGCTGTGAAAATGGGAAGAAATGTCTTTTTCTGTTATTTTTATACACAAAAGAATTAATAAGTTGAAAAAACTGAAAATCTGTTGAAGTCCTATTCAAGTTGGTAATTCATCAAAGATACTTTAAGCAAATGAATGATCAGTCAGGGTCAGTATGCTCATATTCCCCCATAATGCATGACAGGTTCTGTCAATTGCACAGAAATGTTGTTACAGTGACGAATATCACGGTACAGACACCGCAGGGTTTAAGATGCATCTCCAACCAGAGGTAACAGGACAACTCCCTCTTTACACTTTCTCCACCTCTTCACTAAAAAAAACAGAAATTTACTTCCTCAAAATAAAGCTTTCAAAACTTCAACCAGTGACCTCTGACTGCCTACCCACTTCATGCAGTATGTTGTTAGTCAACATGGTGCGCAGTTAAGTTTCCAAGCACCTGCGGTGAGATAGAGGGACAGTTTTGGATTTGGTTGCATTATCAGACACCAAAACAATGTCAGGGTTGAGGTCCTGTCTCTTATAGAATCAACATTTGCAACTACATTTATACACAGCCGTTTTTAGTGGTCACCTAATTAATGTTCACAACTAGTAGATACAACCTGAAAATTCAAAAGTCAAAAGTTTTTTTTTTTATGTTGGCCAAGTAATGGAATTAACATTAATTAGTAAGACCTGATATAATCTGTTTGATAGAAGATTTCTTAGCTTTGGAAGTTTCCAAAAGTGCGTTGAAATCCAAATCCAACCCTATGCACACCCTATCCTTAACTAATGTCTATATTTATGTTTAAAGTGTGCTTACATTTAGCTTTCTAACACTTTAGTATTTTAGTACGCTTTATTAGCATTTATCTACTGAAGAGCACAGTGCAGTCCTGTGGGAATTCTGTCTGTGGTCTTAGGGCTCTTCTGCCATGGGTGAGGTTGAAAATTTGACCTGGTCATGGTGCGCCATGAAAAGTCATTTGATCACCAAAGCCATTTTGATTGATCTCCTGGGGATCATTCAGTAGCGCTCTGCTGTGATAGTTGTCTGTGGCCATGGCACTAGCATGGCTGCAAAGTCGCACCAGAAAGCCTCATCGAAGTTGCATTAAAATTGTACTTACTAAAAAACACATTGTGGTGATTTTTTCTTTTGAGTAAATAAAAATAATCGCTCCACTTAACAAACCGACATATGGACGTGTTTAACAGCTCCTGTAAACACCTTCGAGTGAGAAGCCCGGTAGCTGCTGAGCCGGCTCTTGCTGATTGGTTCTGTCAGATGTGTGCTGAGTTCCTCTTTAGGCAGCTGATGGCAGGTTGTCAGGAAATGGTACACTCCCTGAAACGCAAGATGCTCTGGAAAAGCATGAACAGGACTGCTGTTTAAAAGCTTAAGCATGTGTGGGAGTTAGAAAAAGTGGTTGAGTAACCCAGTGAGTTATATATGTATGTCAGCAAACACTTCCTGAGGGGATAAACACAGGTTAAACCCCGCTCAGTTTTGGCGAACTTCTGTCTACTATATGTGGAAATGAATTTGTTGATATTGTTTAGAAATGATTTTACCTGCCCGCTGGTTTAACAGTGATGTGCATGCCACTACCCTGCAGACTTGGTCTCAGCTGATGGTAGCCAGAGATTAACCTGTACAAAAAGAGTTATCACAGTAATCTATGGTGGTTTCTGCTTGCTTGTCCCACCTCACCTGCACCTCGGCTTCCAGGCGCTTCCTTTCTCACAGGTGGTGTGAAGTTAAAAACACAGCAAAGTTTAGCCGGTTAAGTGTGTTGCTTTGCTTATTGAAAGTGCAGGTGCGCTGACGCAGTTGGAGTTAGCTGCAGGAAGGATCAGAAGTTGGACGGCCTCAAGCACAAAGGCAAACTTCCGACAGTTGTGCCTCCGGAGCAGTGGAGGAGGGCTGCTGCCGGGGGGGGGGGGGGGGGGGGGGGGTTCACTCAGAGGCTCATCGTTCTGGTTTCTAAGATGAGGATTTTTTGAGCCGGAGTTGATGACGCCAGGAAGGTGCTTTTTTTTAATGGATGTTTGAACTGTTCTGATGATGTTCCAGCTTACCAGAACAATGAGGAAGAACAGAGAGATGAAGTAAAGAACAGTGTAGAGTGCAAGTATGCTTGCATGCGTCTGTGTTCACAGCACCTTTTGTGAACAACTACAATACAGAGTACAGAAATGATGTGAATTAAATGAAAGAAATAAATAATAAAATAATAAATAAAAAATCATGAGGATCAGAGTCAGTGAGCGTGTCTGCTTTTGCTGTGTAAAATGTGCAGCGGTCGTTATGAGAAAGTTCAGGAGATCATGTGACGGTGTGCGTTGAGTGTCCGGGTTACAGTGTTTGTGTTTGTGTAAGACTGTGTGCTCATACATTTTTATTACAGTGTATTTGTGTTAGCATTTGCTTTGTGTTTGAGAAAGCAAACATGTGACAAATGTTTGCAACATTTCTTAGAGTGTAGTTGTATGTAAATATGTTTCTGCTGCAAGTGTGTATCAATGTTTACTGGTGCACAGAGCATTGGATTCAGAGCTGTGGGAAACTCCAACAATCTCTGAACATTTATACCCACTACAGTCTGCAGTAGTTTTTAAAGCAAATCCAACATTTTATTAGCATTTAGCTTGCTACCTGTTAGCAGACTGATACTCTATCAGACCTGCATATCATAATGATGTTGAGGATGCACTTACCGTACCCAGCTTGAGTCAGTATAAGCAAGACGTAGCTGACATGGTGCACAACTAAAGTTAAACAAAGCAAAGGCAGAGAACTACCATATGTTGGACTGACATGTAGTGACTGACTGCAGTGCTGCGGTCAGCTGATGTTCCATGTGCTGCATTAACAACCAAAATAATTAACCTTATGTTGCTAATGTTAGGTAATGGTAGCATACGTCCTTCAACTATGCTACTAGGTTTCTGGGGGACATGTCCCTCACAAACAATGCCCTTGATGTGTGGCAATATTGTGGTCACTCTGTGTGTGTGTGTGTGTGTGTGTGTGTGCGTGTGCGTGCGTGTGCGTGCGTGTTTGTGTGTATACCCTGGCTAAACAGAGCTGTGACTCTGTCTTATTGTACATCACACATGACCTCATTAGTGCCGGCAGTTTATTTTTAGGTTCTTCTCTATTCATCAGTCAAACTGCCGCAGGAAACCGTCCCTGTCAGGGGTGTGTGTTTCTGTGTGTGTGTGTGTGTGTGTGTGGGGTGGGTTAAACTACACTGAGGGGGGTTCTCAGTTTCTGTCAAAGTTGTCATCAAAAGTGATTATACATGTTTACATGTTCATTATGAAAAGGTTTCTTTTCATATTTTGGTGTAGTTTTGTTTTTGTTTCACTCTTAATCCACAGTAAACTTCCTTTTTTCTTTGTTGGCAAGAATAGCTTCATCACCTGAGACCCTACATTTTACTTTCACTTTTTACTAAGACAAAGGATGTCCTGTCACCAGCAGTAAAATAGAAGGTTTTATATGATCGTGACTGTACTGCCTTAACTTTGAATTAAGAATCATGACCGAGTTGAAAATTCTGTAAAATGTGTATTCGTGGATACTGAAACATGCACATTTTCGCAGACAAGCCTTTTAAATGTCATTGAGACTTCATATATTGAAGTATATGTGTAAGAGTTTTTTGCTGTTTTCAGACCAGTGAGCTGGAGGACCTGCTGGAGGACCTGCAGAGCGGCGGCCAGCAACAGCCGTTCGGGGGCCAGCCACCGGCCAGAGGACCATCCTCCTCTTCGTCCTCCTCTTCCTCTGTGCCGCCTGGTTCCTCCGCGGACAAACAGACCATCATCAGCGACATCCTGCAGATGACCGACAGTGGCAGCAGCAGCAGCCCCCCCAACCAGCACCGAGCCTTCCCTCCAGTCGGCCCTGCAAGTACGTCTGCAACAGGATGTTAGTGTCCGAATCAATTTGATCATTTCTGGGTCTTAAATGCTTTGAATTGCACAAAATCTTTAGAATCTCTTTGAGAAAATAAGGACACCTCCGTCACACATTTCTCTCAGCATATGCACAATACTGTGCATAATGTCTAGTAAAAAGAAAAACGTGTCTTCCTCCCAGCAGCCTTTAACGGTGCCAGGCCGGCCCAACCAAGCCGAGGTGCTCCTCCAGTCAGGAGCATGTCTATGGACGGCAGTATGGGCCCCAACCCCAACACCACCAGGCCTTTCCCCCCTCAACACAGGAACCACGGCCCCTACTCTTTAATGCAGCAACAACAACAGCAAGGCATGATGGGAGGTCATGCAGCCATGGCCAACCAAGCTGCAATGGCCAACGCAGGTGAGGCAGGAAAAGATATAGTATCTTGTGTTTTTTGAAATGACTGTAATCAACTCAACATCGGACTAATTATTCTCTCCAAATCAGGCATGATGAGCAACGGGTCAATGCGGGGCTCCATGCAGCAGGGCTGGGGTCCCCAGGGACCCATGGGGGGTACTGCAGGACCAATGATGGGCCAGGGGATCGGACCTGGTCGCATGGTCCCCAACATGAACAGTGGGCTGCCTACAAGAGGCCCACCTGGATCCAGAACTATGGTCAACATGCAGATGATGGGCAACGGTGAGTGAGAAAGAACGAAAGAAAGAAAGAAAGAAAGAAAGAAAGAAAGAAAGAAAGAAAGAAAGATCAGCTCTCATCAAAACATGTTTTTCTTTCCCTCAGAGGTGGCAAACCCCACCTACACTCAGCAACATGCTCCACCCAATCAGACTGCACCATGGCCAGACCGAATGATGATGGATCACTATGGAAACCAAAGCAGGTATGGCATTCATTCTATCCCAAAGTATAAAAGAAGTAGAGAAGCCAAAAAAAATTATCATGAGCATGTGGGCTTCGTTCAGACCCATGAGTCTGTAGTGACAATAACACCCAGGGTATCTTCCAGGCCACCGTATGGCATCCCCCAGGAGGACGGGATGGGGTGTTGCAGCACGGGGCCCGAGGGCCAGCCGGACGAAGGAGCCCTGCTGAACCAGCTGTGCTCGGTGCTAAAGGACTATGAGGGTCTGGAGGAGATCGACAAGATGCTGGGAATCCCCACGCTGGCTGGACAGGTGAAGACCTTCAGACCGACCCTGAAAACAACTAGCACAGAACAGGGGGAAATATTGATGCAGATTAACATCACTAAGCTAATTTTTTATTTTTTTATTTATTTTCTTACTCATATCCCATCTTCCCACCCTGCAGGGTCCTATGTCAGACCAAGACCAGTACCTCAGCTCCTCAGACCCAGCAGCCAGAATGAAGCCTCCCCAATACAGTCAACACTATGGTGGCCAGCCAGGTTATGGCGGCATTCCTCCTGATGGCGGATTCCACGGCCCCTCTATGGGTGGCCACATGGGGCCGCAAAGGATGCCACATGCTGGTTACCCCCCAATGATGAGGATGCCTGGGGCCACGGGGCCCAGACCGGCCGGAATGAGGCCAGGGGGGCCTAATCCGGTAGTGCAACCTCAGCCCAACAACCTGAGACTCCAGCTGCAGCACAGACTCCAGGCCCAGCTGGTAGGTGACACCAGATACCGTCCGTTATATCACTCCTCCTGCAGTTTTGTGATGTTTGTCGACCTCAAACCAGGAATGTTGTGTTAGATGGGACAATCACATCCAGTTGTGACTTTCTGATGAAATCTGATACTGTGCAAACAAAACACAGCAGTCTCTTTTTGCAGACTACACTCAAAAAAATGTGATTTTTTCTTATTACATGTGATGCAACAGAGCAGACAGCGATGCCAACAGGGTTCAGTGAGTTTAAACTGAGCAGCATCAGCCAGAAAGGAACAAACATGTTGCAGCTTTCTGCCTTCATCAGCAGTTCCCTGCTGTTGAGACGCTTAACAATGAACACACACATGATGTGAACATACAGTGCACACACACACACACACACACACACACACACACACACACACACACACACACACACACAAAATCATACACTCACGCATAAAGATGATTGCTTGCACCTTATGTAACTGGCAGTTAACACAGTGTGTTTCTTTGAAGAGCCCATTTCCCCATAATGTTCCTGTTTCTGACTGTGTGCTCTGTACCTCTACGTTGTTAATGCACACAGTTCATTTTGTAGTACTTTTTTATTTATTTATTTATTTTAGTTTGTTCCTGTCTTCACATTTTGAGTCTCAAAATCTTGAGTAAATACTAAATGTTTCACATTAAAGGCGTTTATCCTGAAATTGTGAAAAATAATAAATCACCATTGCTGACTTTAATTTGAACAGCACCATTTGTACAATAAAGTCTAGGCTGCCACCTGGTGGACAGGGAAAACACACTGTGGGTATCAATTAGTAGCTCTGATGATGTAGCAGTGAGACACAACTTTTTCACCTCCATCTTTACATTTAGGTTGGTGCCAGTGTCTGCAGGAACATTTAAATTTAAATTCTTGTCATCCATCAATGGGTCATTCATATGAGCCAGTTACACTGAAATAAAGCTTGACCTGCAAGAGTTTGGCATGCAGGGCTTTATTTGAAAATCTGAGCAACAACAAAATTTCTCAAAAGTCAAAAAATTTTAAATTTAAATGTAAAGTAGTTTTGTGATGCAAAATATCTTTCATGCTATGGTTGCATTTGGCATTACTGCAAACATGTGGGGCATTGATAGACCCAGAGGAGTCTGAACGAGACCCAAACCATGACAGTCTTAGTGCTTCAGGAGTGACATATACACGACTTGGCTTTGTATGATTTCATAAGAAAAACTGTAGATATTTTTAACATTCATGAACTGACGTGACATGCCAAGTTGATACTTTGAAACTAACTGTATTTCTCATGCCTGAGAGGTTGTTGCTGTCAATATACTGTATATAATAACGAACTCCATCCATCCCCCATTTAGAACCGTCAGCCAATGGTGAACCAGATGAGTGGAGTGTCCAATATGAATCTACCTCTAAGGTCTAATGTACCAAACCAGGTCAGTCTATGTATCTGAATATGTGTATGTATGTATCTCTCTCACTCTCTCTCTCTAGTCCAGGGTTGAGAAGATTAGGAATCAAAATGATGTGTGTTTGATTGGTAGATCACTGACTGTTGCTGGTCCATGCCAACACTTAGGCATACTGTGTGTTGCATGTTTATAAGGTAGGAATATCAATACTCTGTGAATGAGTATCTTGACACATTGGTTCCTTGCAACCACTCACTAAGTAAAAAAAAAAGAGTGAAAAGTTTTTTAAACTCACAATTTCCTTACAAATTGTTTAAATAGAAAATAAAATTAGAGTAATAAAGTAGGTTCAGCAGCTGAGACAGCTCAAGACAGCTCAACTCAGACTGAAGAAATGCACCAACCCAAAATTTTGCAGACCTGATGGTAATTTGTGGTCGGTTGAGTTCACATCCCTTTTAGAGTTTAGTTTACAGCCTCTTGAGTGTCTCCTCTCTGTGTTTCCTCCTGCAGGGAACCCTCAACGCCCAGATGCTGGCCCAGCGTCAGCGCGAGTACCTCAGCAACCACCTACGCCAACGCCAACAGCAGCAGCAGCAGCAGCAACAACAACAACATCTGCACCACCAGCGTGCCATGATGATGCGGACTCAGGGCATCAACATGCCGCCGAACATGCCCAGCGGGGGCGCCGCTCCCACGCCGATGCCCATCGGTGGCACCAACCCGCGTCTCCCGCAGGGCAACCCGCAGCAGTTCCCCTACCCGGCCTCCAGCTACGGTACGGGCCTGCCCTCTCCTCCTCCACCTCCTCATCCTCATCCCGGCTCCTCCCCTCTCTCCCCCAGTCATCATCTGACTAGCCAGGGCATGATGGGAAATGTAGGCGGGCATTACAGCGGGGTAATGAGTCCGCCATCACAGCACAGTGCCTTCCAGTTCAGCAGTTCAGGTACATGATCAGAGCGTAGCAGCTGCGTCTCAGTGGTCTCTGTTAGCTTTTGTTGTTGTTGTTGTTGTTTGTTTGTTTGTTGTTGTTGTTGTTGTTGTTGTTGTTTGTTTGTTTGTTTGTTTGTTTGTTGTTGTTGTTGTTTGTTGTTGTTTGTTGTTGTTGTTGTTGTTATTGTTTGTTTGTTGTTGTTGTTGTTTGTTTGTTTGTTTGTTTGTTTGTTGTTGTTTGTTGTTGTTGTTATTGTTTGTTTGTTGTTGTTGTGGTGGTGGTGGCGGTGATCAAACATAATCATCTTTTTTCAGACTGTGGAAATCAAGTCTTTTTTTAAGTTGATTGGCTGCGGTTAGAGTTGCGCATGAAAAAAATGTTTACTTGCGTCAGATTTGTTTTTGAGTACAAATCATCAGTGTTTTTACAGTGAGATTAACACTTTGTCTACATTTGTCATGAGCCAATCAGGAGACTAATATGGTTATTCTGCGGGGAAATGGCTCTGGTGGTGGCACTGGTGAAACAAATCTTCTCTTTCCTTCTCTTTTCTAATATTTTTTGACTTTGTGTGTCGTCTGTCAGTGTTTTAAATTCATTGTGAATGCACTCTTAATGTCATTTGACCAAAAAAAGGGAATTTTCTTTTTTAGGTTGCAAGTTTCTGAAGTAAGGACAGAATAGGATCCTGAGGATTTTGTACAGTAGTATAGTAGTATAGTTTGTGGCATCGAGGAGTTCAGTTGTTTGCCAGTTGGATTTTGACAGAGATGCATTTGCTAGCTGTTTTGGATTGGTTTTGGTTGGTCTTTTCACATTTAGGTCTGCATTTACCAAGAACTGGTTGTTAAAGCAAAGATTTAGCAGATTTTTTTTTCAATGTTTTTTCCTCTGGTTTAGAGGCAAGATGATTCCGATTTGGCTTTCTTTGTCCTCTTGTTAAAGATGACAGAGGAGAGTAGAGGTTGCATAATTTATCAGCTACAGGTCATGTTACTTTTTAGATGTTAGTGTGTGTTATTATATCTCTCCATTCACCTTAACCCGTTTATCTGCTTCAATCTCCAGGAATGAGCCAACAGCAGCAACACCAGGATCCGGTGTCAGGCTTCCCATGTGGGGCTGCAACCCCTCAGAGCCCTCTGTTGTCCCCCAGGATGGGGCAGGGTCAGAGCCCCATGCTGCAGCAGAGTCAGGGCCAACCACAACCCCAACCCCAGGGCCCGAACCAGGGGGGACCCCCCAGCTACCAGCCTAGCGCCGACCTCAACGGATGGCCCCAACCTGCCAACATCTCCACCAGCAACAGGTAAAAACAGAAGAACAGTTCACCATTCGTGTGAACATGCTTTTCAGCAGCTGACATTTCATCAGCTCAGCTTTAACTCAGCTCGCCTTGTGTCAGTGTGTACCCCCAACAGTCGCAGTCCCAGTACGCAGCACAACCCAACGGAGGAATGTACAACGGCAACAGCATGAACATGGGAGTCATGGCCAGCAATGGTGGCAACATGAACCAGATGTCAGGACAGATGAGCACCATGAATACAGAGCAGGTAAGAGATAAGCCTACATACTGCCTGCTATTTACTGTTTCATTCCAGTACATAAGCTTATTTAAGGCCATGATTAATCTACATTTTCATTATTTAATTAATATTTATTGTGTTTACTTTTGCTTCTCAGTATAACTGTGGTGTTTGAGATTCAAAGTAACGCAAATAAAGACACAAAATTACATTTTTCTGGAAGATACTTAGAAAACCTTCACACGTGGCCTTTTCAACAAATGTAAATAAATGTAAATTTGTTCATGTGTGTTTTGTGTCAATAAGTAAAATGAACTCTTCCTCAGTATCCGTGAGTAATGATACATTTTAATTAGCAGCCGTGTTCATGTGTCCTGTTATTCTTCTGGTACAGGTCAGTGACAACAGCCTGATCTTGGAGCAGCTGGCAGGAATTGACATGCTGACACAAGATGGTGACGCCAATTCTGTAAGTAAAAGATTGTTGTCGTTGTACTTTATGTATTATAATGTTACATTTTTCATGTATTAATCACATAAACATCATATTATAAGCCTGACATGATATAGTAAGTGTCTGCGCATCTATTACATTACATGTTATATTGTATGAAAAAAGTCTCAAATTTAATGTGGGGAACCCTGATAAACCCCTGGTGTGTGGTTCCTGTCAATAACTTTTGATTATTTGTTATTTTCTTTTTTTTCTTTAACTTGATCTCGATTTTCTGTCTTCCACAGAATTATTGCTGACCCCAGCTGTGGTTGAGACAAGGCGACACAGGAGCTCATGACGAAGCAGCGAGGAGTCTGGGACGAGAGACAGAAACACTGCTTCCTGTTTCACACCAGCCAACTCAGAGGCGCCAGTCAGAGAGAGGACAACCAACACATGTAAAACCTTTTGAACTGCACTGACTCAGTGTGGCTTCATTCAACCTGACATTTTATGCAAAAAAAAAAAAAGAAAAAAAGTCAGACATTATAGGGAAACTGCCATCTGAACCATCCTAACAGCAAATGCACAATGGGAGGATACATGTTATATTTATCTGTACACTGTAAATTCTCACACAAAACCTTGTTTTCAAATGATCAAATTAAGGCTGATCCAAAAAAAAATGACCTGTACTTTTACCATGACAGCGTACCTGATAAGCTGAACATAGTCTAGATTTCCACAGAGTTATTTAGATGTTTTCAAATGAAGAAGCAAGCGAGGGTTCATGTCCCCTGAACTGATTTGAAGGCTTTTAATTTAAAACATTTGGAGGAAGGGTTGGGTTTTCACTGAAAGCAAACAGCAGCAATAGCAATTCATGCTCTTCTTGCTCCATAAAATCAAAAGAAACATAAAAAAGAAAACACTGAAATAAGGGGCAACTACTAACATCATGTCTAAGACAGGAAGCTCTTACGTATTCAAAATGCTTCTACATTTTTTGACACAAAATGCGACATCTTGCACCATTTGGACAAATTCAGTAAAACCTGCCCATCGGCTGTTAGTGTTTGCTGTTAGTATGTGCACTGATCAGATGAATGTGTTCCAACTGTAGTCCTCTCAAGTCTCTAAAGCAGTGTATTTGTGATAGAGCAAATTTGTGTGTGTGTGTGCACGCCTGTGTATGTGTGTGCGTGTGTGTGTGTGTGTGTGTGTGTGTGTGTGTGTGTGTGTGTGTGTGTGTGTGTGTGTGTGTGAAACTGAAATGATGTCACAGATTGACACTGGAGAAGCGAATGGTTGACAAGCATAAATGAAACCTCTGGATTTTATCTTTTTATGGTTCTATTTCTGAGCCTGACTGAAAACGTCAAATGAGAAGGTTTATGAAAAAAATATTTCACAGGTATTTATAGTTTTGAAGAAATTTTAGAGATTCTTTGTATGACATAAAAAAAAAAGAAAATCAAGGATATCTTTCTTTATGAAAATCTCTCAGAATGGTACATTTTGATGTCGATTTTGAAAATTAATATATTTCAACTGCTGTAGTTACCGGGGAGCTGTATCCCTGTTAAATGATTTTTTGAATGAAGGTGAATGTGTATAGATAGTGTATATACTTAGATTTATAATACCATTTTTCTTCTAAGTGGTGTAGCAAAGCAGCAGTTTGGAGTTTTAATCCAACAGTTTTTCAGAGAAGTAATGTTTCATTGGTTGAATTGAACCTTAGTGGGTGGAGCTAAAGAGCCACAAGACAACACGACTGCAACTGACGAAGAAACAAACTAAATGTTAAAATCCCATGTCCTTATTTCATTTTGCTATTGCTATTTCACTACAGCTATTTTGAATTTGAAAATCCAGCTAGGCTAACTAGCTAACTTTGTTATCCTAGTATCCGCAGCTTGAAACTTTCTGGTTACGCAGCCATTAGCGATTCCTTTTTAGCCATTGTAGCGGCGAGAGGATGGCAGTGACGGTTGGTCCGCCACTTTGGTTCAGAATGAAATATCTTGACAACTACGGGATGGATTGCCATAAAATTTGGAACAGACATTCATAATTCTCATGTGATATTTAATAAATGTGATCCCCCTTGATTTTTCATCTGGCGCCATCGTCAGATCAAAATTCTTTATTCATTTATGATGAAATACCTACAAAAAAAATAACTTTCGCATTAATGCTAACACCCTAAACTAAGATGGTGACCAAACGATGTCTGTTGTCACGTTTCACAGACTGTCTGGAAATCGTTTGTGTGCTTGCTCTGCCCACTGAAATTCTACCACTGCGACTATTTCTGCCTCCGAAGCAGCTTTGCCTCTAAACAAGATGTGTATAACTAATAATAAAACTCCAGGCTACTGCGATCCATTTAAAAAAAAAAAAAAAAAAAAAAGTTTTTGGGGTTGCGATGTTCTGGCCTGCAGGACTCACTCTTGTGTGTCGCAGGTGTGTAGCTTAAGCTCTCTGTCGTGCTGAAGGACAATTGAAAAGCGTGTTGGTTTGTTGTGTTGGCTCTTTCTGTGGGTGAAACTGTGACCTTTGAATGACAAGACATTCTTTATGTACTCTACGAAGTATCGACCTGGTCCCCATGAACAGATTGACAGAGATAAATGAAACCTTTCTATTAAACAAAGAAGAGCAGGCGACCCAGGACGTTTACAATCCAGATCCATAGAAAAGACTGGACCTTTAGAATTTTGGGAATAGTTTCATTACATCAATTTCATTAGGTACTGTCTCACAAAAACTAACTGTAACTAGCAACATGGACTTCTCGAATCCCACTGGTCCAGAAACCTGTTAAGCACAAAGATGAGGGACTACTTTTCTCTGCAGAACAAGACGAATGTGACGGTGCAAACCGAATGCAAAATGAAACACTGAAAATATTTTTTTTTTTTTTAGGAAAACTTTGCGTTGATCCCATTTCCCCTTCGTTTCCTTTCAACTTTCAGTGCAGTAAAATTATACGCCAGTATGCTGCATGTTGTAAAACCCCAAAGATTTTTATGAGAAACCCTCTTAAGAGAAAATGTAAGCCATGGAAATGTTCTGAATGTCAAACTCTCTGCAAGGGTTCAAAGCAATCAAGAGCGGATGTAAACGCTCATGTACAGTAACTCCTAATGTTTTAGATGAAGGTGAATTATTCTCTCTTGATCTTTACTGATACAGTACACACACACACACACACACACACACACACACACAAACATATATATATATATATATATTGAAGATTGTTCTTGATTCATAGATGGATATTTTATCAATTGCAAAATACTGTTATTCATGTAAGTACCTTAAGATGCTAAAGACATAGCATACTGCCTTAGATCTGTGGTTCTGTGTGTGGTGTATAACTGTAAGGTTTACAGGTGTATTATATGTGTCACACACTACTGAGTGAGTGTCTACCACTTCGTACCGTAGGTGTACAACCAGGATTTTTTATATTTTCTCCCAAGAAATGACACTGTACAACATGTGTTAACCTGTCTATCAGGTCATGCAAATCACAATAATACTTTGTTAGCGTAAATTATTTTGTTCATAGTTTCCCTGTACAATGCAACAGGGAGGGTCTCCCTTACTAACACAGTGTTTTTGGTGCATAAAGGGGTATTCAGTCATTTTTTACCTTTGCTGACCTGCTGGTGACCAGTAGGAACAGCAGCAACAGCGGTTTATCTCTAGCTGACATTTGGGCTATAGTGGCCTGTAAATGACAATAATGTAGTCAAAAATGCATCTAGCCCTGATGCAGGACTGTATCACTGCTAAAATTAAGGTCCCGTTTCTGATATTAAATGCTTATAAAATCTCATAGTGGACAAACTTCTCTGTAACGGTTTCACATATGATATCGGTTACGTGTAGGGCTGAGTATCATTATGCATTTAACAAATTTATATTTAACAAAAGATGATAAAGGTTCTCAAATGTTGAATCTTATAGCCATATAGGGATGTTTCCTAAATAAACGAGTAAATTAGCCTAAAAGTGGCTAAAAGAGTAATTTAACTCTGGAACAGAAACATGATAGATCTTGATACAGGAATAAAGTTTGATATCCAGCCCTAGTTATGTGGAAAGAAGCAAAAATGCGACTTTCGCTGACGCATGTGCCAAGTAATGTGAAAATGAATGTAAAATTCAGTATGGAATATACAGTACTTTCTTTCTTTCTCACCACTTGGTTGAGTTATATTTCCAATTTCCAATTCTTCTTCTTTTTTTGTCTATCACTAGATGGCGCCAAAGTCAAATCTTACACTTAGTGGCTTTAATCTTGCACAAGTTGTGCTGGCATGCATAAAACAATAGCTGTACGCAGTAAATTAAAATCCTTACTTTTATTATTTTGTTAGTGTTGTAATAAAACTGCATCAGGGCCGGAAGGCATTAGATTAATCATCCAGTGCTGATCTAACATCCCTGATTTAAACACTGGAATAATAAAAATGCTTTCTCCTTTTGCTTTAGTGAACCTTTGTAGACAAAACATTTATATAGATAATCAGTACATCCAGAGAAATTGATTTCCTTTTTCTTTTCGGCTAAGAAGTTTTAGAAAAATGTACTTATTTCCCCTTAAAGAATATTTCAAAAGCTAAATACACCAGGATTAGGCCACTGTAAAATGTTACTTCTGAGTTTCCCTGTGATCAGCTGTCAGTTGTACTGTACGTAAAGCCAGTCTGATTGAAATGTTTCCCAGTTCATTGGTATTTCAGAGCAATAGGTCAAAGCTGAAGGAGAGTGTAGGTGTTCAAAGATCACTGTTTGCGGTTCAAGAGATTTTTTTCTTCTTTTTTTTTTAATGATCCTCTCTGCTGTGATGTTCATATTAAACATCTCAGCGGTGACACAGTCCAGTACAGTTTATTCAGAGCGTGAGTGTTTTATTATGCAAAAGTCCAGACGTTCACACCACTTTATGCAAGCTGTTGACTCTAATGTTGCTTTTGCCAATGCTACTCGTTAATTTATGATTCATGCCACTGTAAATAAATTATTTTTATTGAACGAGCCTGGTTCTGTCTTTTCATTTCATCCCCTGTTGTTCTGGTGTCACGACCTGTATTATAGCTGATTTTATTTTCATAATTTACATGGATGATATTGTGCTGCAGACCTGAGGCTGACTGCATCCTGTGCGTGCAATACTTGCTTTCCACCACCAGAGGGCGACATTGTCCAGGAATTTTAAATAACCTTGATGACTTGCTGTGTTGAATTAATTATTCTCAGAACTTTCCATCGCTTCCTTCTTAAATGCTCATACAGTACTATCCTAAAATCATAGAAGAACTAAAATACTATATCACCTGCCACAGGCTGAAAAAGGGTCCCTGGTGTGTGTGTGTGTGTGTGTGTGTTTATAATATGCATAAATATACATAATATGCTATTAAAAACTCATAGATCTTTTTACTTTTACTCTTGTTAACAATAAAATCTGTGTCCTGACTCCTGCTCCCATAACCTTGACCAGCACCTTTCTCTACACCTCTAATATTCTGCATAAAATTTCTGTTAAGTCTCCTCTTTGATCACTGACACTAACTTTATTTTAAATTGCAGTGGGGATCCCAAATTTTCCAAAGATGAGTGAGGCTGAATTTAGGGTAAATGTATAAAAAATGATGTAAAAGCTGTTTACACAAACATGACAGTGGCACATACAATATGCAGTATATTATTTATATGTTTGTTGTGGTGTTTTGTTGTAACTGTCTCACTTAATAATATTCACATCCAATATGCCGTAGCTGGTCCATTTCACTAGCTGAGGAAAATCCTAAACATCTTTTCCACTGCTTAATACACATTTCTCAGTTTTTCATTTTCACATATTTGATATATTTGGGATCCTGGGTGTAATATAAGAAACTGCCCATCCATTGCAACCGTTTACGACACACCCAGGTTCATGTGGCGTTAATGTGGTTCCTTATTTTAAATCCCTCTCATTTGAAGAAGTGGGGAACAGCAAAAATGTCCTTAGTCATGAGAATTTAAGGCGAATGAAACATGCACATATTTAAGTTCCCAGTTCTGTAGACGCTTCTGTATTCTGCAGAAGGAAACCTGGAGCTGGCCCAGTACCTGTTGTCCTCTGAATGGCCCTTCAAATCTAATCACACAACAATGCCACTGTCTGCCAGCGGAGACATGTTCCAACTTACTCTCAAATAAACCTTTTTGTCTTTAATGTATTATGAAATATAATAACTGTTACTAAACTCAGATGTCATTCAGCACTTCAACAGATATAGTTTTTGAGATAAAGCTGGCAATATGCAAACAATTGCTCAAGGTCATGAACTTTATGAAAGATTATGTATTCTGTCAAACTTGCAGAGTCGCAATAAAACTAATTTTTTGAGGGGTTACGACATATAAAAACTTGGAGCACATGGGGATTAAAAAAACGACTCAGGACTACAGAGATGCTGTAAATCCCAATATAAGTATTTCATATGTATCTGAGATTTTTGTATCTGATTTCAGTTCATTGTTGCTGCAATTACATAATGTGATCTAATAATCTAATCTCTTTGTGTTGCATTATGTCAATTTACCACACAGTTACAACACTCACTTTTTAGTGTTTGCAATACAAAGAAACTCATGAACAGTTATTGTAAATGTATTATTTCTAGACTGAAAGACTGTAGTTTCGGTGCAATTGGTTGCAATGTATTTCCCTAGTACGTGATCTAGACGCCCATTGGTTGATTTAGCTGTCAATCAGTAAAGTAATGCGACATTGGCTCTCTGGCTCTGGCTTTTGGCATCCTCGTCCATCTGGTGAGAGCCAAAGACTGGTGGAAAAAGTGTAGACTTCTCACTCTGATTTTATTTGAATATCACAAATGGACTTAGATATAATTGCAAGCAAATCAGATGGCTAGGCCTTACTTTATAATGTTACAACGAAATTACAGCAATTTTATAGAAAATAATTTACACCTCTGTCTATTTTTTAATCTTTCTGGGAAATTCAATGTGGCATAATTCTGTATTTTCATCATCATCATTATCATTATGCCAGCTAACTGAGGTTCGATGCATTCGGTAGTAAAGAGTTCAGCAGTTCCCCGAATGGCCATTTGAGGGTGGCTCCAAAGTGAGTCAATCCCCATAATCTCACATGTAAAACTTTACAGCAGAAATAAACATGTTTACAATCTGGTACAATAAAGGTTTTGGTCTCTATAGCTAATGTCCTTCTTCATGACAACTGTACTGGCGGTGATTTTTTATACAATAAACCCGTTTAAAGTTATGCATAATTGTGGACGTGGCCGATTTGAGTGACAGGTGGGTGCCTCACAGTCTGCAAACTGTTGAGCTACACCTCGGCTAATTTGAGAGTCTGAACTGACCTCTCGGCCATGTTTGTGACTAACAGAACACGAGGAAGTCTGTGCTCCTGTTTTTTGAGGTGAGTGAAATCCTAGTATTTAATTTCATTCATGTTAGCACGAATTAGCAGGTACTGGTGTGTGTGCTCACCATACCTGGCTAGTTAGCTTAGCTTGTTAACTAGCCAATTTGCTAGTAAACGAATTAGCCTTAGGTTATCCCAAACAATCCGCTATGCTAACGATGCTGACGGGATCGTAGCTTGCCACTGTTATTGAACCGGTTTTCACCGATGTCTCAGCTCCACTGACACTCCACTTTTTTTAATTTTTGGATTAACCCGGAGTTAGGTGGAGTGAGGCACTACCAAGATGGCGATGACAGAGCAGCACACTCAGAGGTTAAAAACCACTCTTCAGAAACCGGTGGTTGACGTCACGGAGGCCAACTACCATCATTATCTATGGTTACTTTCTCTATATAATAAATTGACCCTGTGTTTGTTGGTAACTGCTGTATACAGTGTACTGTATACTTCACAGGTGCTAATAGTTGTTCTCAGTGAACCATGGAGTGAGTCATCTTTCTTAATCCACGATCTTCGGTAAGGGGGTGTGTATGTGAAGGAGGAGGGCGGTGACCACTGCAGTCCTACTACAGTGTCTCTCCTCCTGTCACAGATACCCACAGTGTTACTTGCCGCCGCAGGTCAGCTCGTTAAAACTGTACATCTCAATTTTTTTTTAAATTTTTTGTCAGGCAACCTTGACCCGGGACAGAGATGGCAGGAGCGGCGGCACCGAAGCGGCAGGACACCCGGAAATTTTTCGAGAATCTGTCCGGCGCTGGTAAATCCATCGCAGTGTTGACCAGCGGAGGAGATGCCCAAGGTAACGTTGTTGTAGTGGTTACATTATCGGACAGCTCTGTTGGCTCTGCCGAGTGAGTGCAATTTAAGACTGTGACAGCAAAGTGCTGCCAATAAACAAAAAGAAAACTAACTCAGCTCCCAACCCCTGTCGCCTATCGTTGTTTTAGTTAACCTAAGTAGTCTTTAATTGCGTCTGTTAAAGGAAATCACCGAGCATTCAGTTATCAGACATCTCATCTTAACCCACTGCTGCTGTCTGCACAGGGTGTGTCGCATTTCCAGATGTTATATGTTTTTTGTTGGTAATAGTAATCATGCATATTGTCAACCAAAGACTTGTCCGATAATGGATGTGCGGCCGCAGTTTTGTCCATTAAAGGAGTCGCACACGTTACAGTTACACCCTCCTGTGGAGCAAGTCATTTAAGAGGCGGTTTAAAAGAGTAAAGTTTCACCGCGTCATCGAGAAAAAAAGTGGAGTTTATTTCCACTGTATATATCTTTTCCTCTCATGTTGCCAACCTGGGAATCTGTCTTATTATTTATAAGCTGTTTAATGAATCTGAACGGCGGTTACGCAACAACTGACGCTCCCTGTCACATTTGTACACGGATGCTGCGGTATTTATCACGGAGAAAGAGACCGATCACATTTAGTATTATATTAAACCATACAGATATTAACCCAGGCCTGATAAACAGGAGTCCAGGTTAGATGCCTCTGGATAATTTTGAGAGCTGCGCCAAAATCAACAAGTGATCGTGATTATTGAATAATTCAGAAGACATCTCTTCTTACATTAGATGTTTCTTTCTTTATCATCCATTCATTCGCCAACGTCGTATCTATATGGGCTGGGTTGCCTTGATGCCATAGATGGCGCAGGATTGTGCGTGTTTGTGCATGCATCTGAGTCCCTGTGCGCATCCATAGCTCTCACGGCATCAACCCAAATTTAATTATTACTATAACATTTCTATAGTATTGCCACTAGGAGCTTCATCAGCACACGCCGACTTTGCTATAGGTCTGTTTCACAGGACTTCAAATCAAAAGGCTTGTTGCTTAGCTCTCCCTATTTTGCTTTTGATGTAGCGTTTATATGTTTCCTGGTGTGTTAACTATCTTTATATCGTTATTGGCATTGGCAGCACAGACCTGTAATAGTGTAAAAAATCCAGACTAACTAATCACAATAACTTCCCGTCAGGAAAAGAAGCTAGTAAATAACACTTGATGTGTAGAAACACGTGTCTTGCATCACGGAGGATGAGTCGTGAGAGGATCATTTTCAAGTTCGACACAGCAAAATACCCCATTTCTGATTGAGCCTTTCACAATAAATGTCGTACGGGATAGTTTGCGTGGCCGCGCTTTTATTCTGAAGGCGGGCTCTTGTTGGCTTGTCGTGTCTGTGTGAGCAGCTTTATTTATCCTGTCAGGGAGGTTTGTGTCGCCTACGTGAGGAGTTGCGAGTATGCATGTAGTGAAGAAAAAGGGATGAAGAAATTAATGCAGATAATTTTTTGTTGTTTTCTTGATTTTTATCATTTAAAAGGGAAGTGATATGATGTATGGCCATTATTATATAATATTAATAACATTCATGGAATATCTTCAAAGATATGTATTGTGTGTCTTTGGTGCTCAGACACTGACCTTATCATATACAGTGATGTTACTTACAGCATCCCAGTTATTGTATGTGTCATGTATTTTTACTATAACACATACAGTATAATCAACTGTGTATTATCCCTCTGTGGTTTATCTATATCATCCTCTTCCAGCTGTACATCTAGTGCAGTGGGTTAACCATGGCTATTGTTGGCTCACAGGCTGTTACATAACACTGTGCGCCTATAGGGTGCTGTTGAAGTGCAGTGATATGTTGTCTGTCAGTCTCACTGCAGCACATCTCAGCATGTCAGCTTCCACACTGGATGTTAGAGTCAGCCGTTGTAGTAACAGTGTATAAAAGCTCATGTTCCTCCTGAAAACATCTGAGAGGTAATTGAAGCTACACCTCGTGTAGTGTAGGTGCTGCCAGCGTTGGAGTGATGCACAGACTCACGCATCCCTCACCAGTGTCCTAATTTCCACTCATTCATAAAAACTGGCTGCTGGTTTAGAGGCAGGGCTGCTGAAGAGCACCAGAGATGCAACTAAACTAAATTATTATAATGTGAAAAAAACATATATCAGAGGGAACACAGTGAAGGTTACACTAATCATTATTTCACTCCTCATCTAGATCTAGAGCCATGTGTTTAAGAATCATTCATTTTTATTAATAAATATTCTATGCAGATGAGGAGCAGCCAGTTGTTTCATTCATTCAAAAACATTGCTCACAGAAAGGTCAGAGGTCAGGCTATCTGCTTGATGCTCTCTGACTTTTCAAAAGGCTAGAATTGCCGTGTTTGCCAAAAATGATCTATCTAGCTTGGTGAAAATATTTCTTTTGAAACAGGGGTTGAAAATGTATTCATTTGTTTTTCAAAAGCTTTTACAACCCTCTTCAATGTCAACAAACTTAGCAGGATTTTCTAGATGCTCCAGTCTTAACCTTGCTGTAAGAAGAAAAATTATTACCAAGGGAAATTTTCCTACCACTCTGGGGAGGATACATAGGATACATGCACACCCATTCAGATACACACACACACACACGCACACGCACACGCACACACACACACACACACACACACACACACACTGGATATGTTTAGTCATTGCAGCCGACCGGAGGGAAATACTCACAGCCTCTCGTGTTGTGCTGAGTGCAACTCATTCCGAGAGCTCAGCTGGAACAGGACACACACACACTCACACACGAACCTGTCATCCCGTGACCTCCCCTCATTATTGTTGTACTCATTTTTTCTAAACCTCACTAAACACATTTCACATTTTTCTGCAGATCCTCTTTGACCAATATGCACTGTCCTCGTCTCTAAGCAACATTACCTCATCCCATCAGCACTTGTTAGCGTACAACACAGCCTGAAACCACATCAACGCTTGCATACTGTGTTTTTTCTGTCAAGGGCACCCCGTGATAGAGTCACTGTAGCATCCAGTCTGCCCTCAGTTCAGCATGAGATTATGAGGAAGTGGACTGTTGGTCGGACAAAACAAGCAATTTGAAGTTTTCACATTGGGCTTTAGAAAACAAACGGAGCCTAAAGCATGACATTGTCATCCAAGGAATAGTCACATCCCGTACACATTCTGCACATAAGGGCCAGTGAATGAGACGGGTTGTTTACAGCATATAGTGTGGGAGGAAATTTGGCCAAGAGACAGTCATGTTGTCATCATGAGGGGCAGCTTGTTCCTGCTGTGCCCAGTGCTTCACTACGCTCATACTCACACAGAGAGTAGAGTGGGCTTATACAGACATATGTGTCGGTCTTCAGCAAAACAAGCCATTTGATAACAAATCGCATCCTATAGACGCACAGTGTTATGTAACAGCCTGTGAGCCAACAATAGCCATGGTGAACCCACTGCACTAGGCTTTGGGCTTCAGTTATTTGAAAAATATCTCATATATGAAGTGATTATGAAAATGATCATAAGTTGCAGTTACAATTCTACTATATTTTTTTTGTTGCAGTAATCATTTATTATTGGCTTTAATGCCCAATATCTCCATTAGAATCATTCAAAATTAGCACATAGCTGTCAATCTGCAAATATCAATGAGATACACCCTCAGTTCTATATCCAGTATTTATTTTAAAGCCCTGGCCTGCTTATATAAACCTGTAAAATCAATGAATGGATGATGATTTACAGTCATTCCTGTTTCTGATTTCACTAAGTGCACCGACAGACGCTTTTGTGGTTTGGCACAGGATCCTCAAGGGGACTCTTGCTCTGTCTCTTCTCCCTGTCTCTCTCTCTTTTGACCTCTTTACCCCTCCTGTTGTCTGCTGCTCTGTCTGGCTTCTGCATCTCTGATTATGCTCTTATGTTTCCTGTTTTTTCCCTCGAGCCATTTTGAATTTATTTACTTTTTTTGGTTTTTATTAAATAATATATCCAAGGATGAGTGGAAGCAGGAAGCTTGACTAACCTTTCCTTGATATGGTTTTGTGCTTGAATTGGGTGACAGATTTTTTTCAGTTCAGTGACAAATTAGTGATTGGACATATGATAGAAAAACAGTGACCTGAGCTCGTTTCACTGCAGTTTGGCTGTAAATGTATAATATCTGTGCGCCATGACCTCCAGAAACATCAAACTGTTGTCAGTCTATATTTAAATCTATTAAACACATGACTTTGTATTATTCTGAACAGAAACAAGTTTTTCTGACATTTTTCTGATGTGCAGTCTTTTTGTGCAAATGTGTTGCGAAAATGACTGAATTGCAGTTTTTAAACAACATTTTGAAAATAAACGCACGCAAATGTTAGTTGAATATTAGTGAAAATTTTTCAGGATGTCTTGGAGGACAGCCCTCAGCCAAACTGAGATGCGTCCAGAGAGTTTAAGAGAGGCAGTGAAATAATGGTCATGGCTCATTCCTCTTTCCACTAGTTTGTGCTCCTCCACTGTGTTGCATTTTTAGTTTATTTAGTTCCATCCTTTGGCTGTTGGGATACCACGATGTACAACAAGACCGTGACAACCACTGACTCCTCTCTGTCCTTTTCCAGGCATGAACGCAGCCGTCAGGGCGGTCGTCCGAATGGGCATCTACGTAGGAGCGAAGGTCTACTTCATCCACGAGGTGAGACATAACACGTGACTCAGGCTCCAGACGTGGCCCTCAGGGGGAGTCTGCAGTTTCTGCCACACTTGACAATGAGCTAAATTAGAACTGAGGAGTCTTCCTTTTTGGCTGTGATTATCTTTGAAAGCGGTCAGCAGGATTCAGAAATCAAATACGAGACAGCATTTGGTGTCAGAGTCAGGCATCTTTTTGAAAACCACTGAAAATCTGGGAAAATCCTTTAAATGAAAGGCAAAATCAAAATTTAAAATCTGAACACCTGTATTTGAATTGATCTCAGATTTATATTCTAAATGATTAAAACCAACTCTCTGTATTAGCTGAGATTAAAATCTGCTTAGTTCAACAAGTATCTTATAAAACGTGTGATTTTGTTATTCACACATTTTCCCAGTAGACTCATGATGATTCTGGCAGCACACAGGCTGTGCACAGAATTTAACAGATGTGAATAGGAGATAAAAATGTACAAATCATGATAATTCTGCCAAGAGAAAGGCAAACAGGTCACTGTGCACCACACAACGAAACAGAAGACGTAGCTGCAGTTTTCCTTGAAAGCAGATATCTGTCATTACATGAGGTGTTCTTCACCACTTATTACATCTAATATTTCACTGAAAATAGATGAGAAGTTATTGGTATTAAATGTATTTCAATGTGGGTAGCTACAGTGTCTCTTATTAACAAATAAGAGACAAATATTATTTAACAAACATAAAGATTTGTTTGTGGGTTTGGAAACTGAAGTCTGATCTGTCCTTTAAAATGCAATGAAGACAATACCTTTATGACATCTTTATAGATCTTCCAAGCTGATTTTTAACTCTTGCCCTGTGTCCCCGTCATGTTTTCTGCCGGCAAGACATTAGTGACATTCATTTAACCCAGAGGGAAATTATACTTCCTGCTCATTGCTGAAACACTTTAACCTCCCTATAGGGTCTGTGTTTATTTATAACCGACTAGTAGCAAGGCAAATTTTTGCATTCATATGGAGTCTGCATGTACACTATAACACAGATCTCACGATGGTCAGCACTGCCTTGATTATTGTGAATAGTTGAATTTTTAAATGCATACGTTTTAGATAATGTCAGCTCATACACAGTCATTTAGTTCAGGGTATTGAGTTTGGTGACAAACAGATCAGTAATATATAATGTAGTTGTAGTATACTTGTAGTATGTTATTCCTATCTCATTACAGACCTCTTTTATATTTTAGCATTTTCTTCTTTTGATGTGTCTTAAATAAAATCCAGAAGCTCACAGAGTGTATTGAGATATTTTATCTTTAATCTTTAATATATCTTTGAGGATGAATATTTCATCAGGAGAGGATTTGAGTGACAGATTTTTGCATTAATGGCTCTGCAAAATGTTTTTTTGTTGCATCCTAAGCGAGGTTTACATGATTATTCCATCAAGCATTACACGTAAGTTTACTTGCTTATTATTTACAGTGAATAGAGATTTGCTGTTTTCTGCAACTGTTGTATTACTGTCAGGATAAGGGTTTTTCTTCCCATTGGATTCACACATCTTAAACTGTAATTTAAGTCATGGTAAAGGAATTCAAATTAAATCTTTAATATAAAATAAAAGTAGTCTGCAGGATAATCTGCTTCAGGACTTTGAATTATGAAGAATTTTAAAGAAAAGCAGCAACAGATCCCTGTTACTTAGATATCTGAGACTTCCTGGATATTGAATGTCTGAGAATATATGTGTGTGATGATGGGTATGATGCCACTGATGGTAGTGACAGGGGGGGCAGGGTTGGAGACGCTCTGGTCTCAGTGTGGATATAATTGGATTACCAGGGGCAGATTTCATTCTTCCCTGGCTCCATCAGCCTTGAATAATCACTGGGCTGTGAGTAATGACACCTGAGTGCCATGACGCCTGTATTTTGGCTCGTAGCTTTGCTCAGCATACACAACACAGCAGCAGAGCCTAACAAGCATAACTATCAGTGCCAAGAGATTTGATGATATTTTTTTCTAACATATTCAGATTTTAAACAATTTGTCGATTGACAAATGGCATTGACAAATTGATTAACAGAAACAGAAACAAAATTATCTTCCAGCATTTTCTAAGCTTATTTTTGCCTTTATTTGATTGTCAACAGTAAAGAGGAATATAGGAATCACGGGGAGGGAAAAGGGGTACGACATGCAACAGAGGTCCATAGCCAGAATCAAAGTGCGTGTGTGTGAGTTTTGTTGTGTGATGAATGATTCAGTGAATATCTGTCATATGTGTTTGTCCTCTCAGGGTTACCAGGGTATGGTGGACGGTGGAGACAACATCAAAGAGGCGACGTGGGAAAGCGTCTCCAGCATGTTGCAAGTGGTGAGCAGAGCTTTCTGCTGCTGTTTCAGGTCATGCACTCTGATATAGTTGCGTCAGGTTCTGTAAACATTACATTAAGCGTTAAGATATCTGATCCCAGCTCAGTGTAATATCAGATGTGTTGGTGGAGATGTGTGATCAATGAAAGTGACTTTTATCTCTGAGCCAAATGAGTCTGTGATTGAATTAGAGTATTAAACTATTTGTCATGATCAGACTTTCATTCTCTAAAGTGGATAACATTCAGTTCAACTGTGAAAAAATATTTATCTTGTAGACCAGCAATAGTATAAACAGCATTATAAAGTATGTGATGGTTAAAAAAATGAGAAAGTGTTTTTCATAGCAGCAAAATAGAGCCAGTAGATGAGCACTTTGAGGAGACAACAGTGTGATTTCAGATTATAATCGGTGTTGTCCTCAGGGTGGCACAGTCATCGGCAGCGCCCGCTGTAAAGAATTTCGTACCCATGAGGGCCGTCTGAAGGCGGCACACAACCTCGTGCTGCGCAGCATCACCAACCTGTGTGTGATTGGTGGAGACGGCAGCTTGACCGGAGCCAACCTGTTCAGAGAGGAGTGGAGCAGCCTGTTGGATGAGCTCCAACAGCAAGGTGATCACTCGCTGCAGGACTTCCACTTGACTTTACATGATCGCTCTCCCTTTCTTAAAGGTGTGAACAGAACGCATCTCCCTTCCTCTCTTGTTGTTCAGGTCTGATCGACGCGGAGGCAGCCCGCAGTAACTCGGAGCTCCACATTGTTGGTATGGTCGGCTCCATCGACAATGACTTCTGCGGCACTGACATGACCATTGGCACCGACTCGGCCCTTCATCGGATCATTGAGGTGGTGGACGCCATCATGACCACCGCTCAGAGGTGAAAACATCCTGAGAGGAGAAGAGACGAGTTGAGATGTGACAAGACGTAACAAGAAGTAGCAGGACGAGACATGAGACAACTAGATAATAGATGTGACAAGATCTGACAAGACATAAGGAGACAAGACAAGAAAAAAGAAAATGTAATGAGACAGGACGAAAGTAGACAAACATGGTATCCCCTGAAGTGGGTTAGCTAGCTAGTTGTAACTTTCATAGGTGCATCTATCTGTAGTTACCAGCGTCCCTACAAACCTCAATGACATGTCCTCTTTAGACATGGTTAAGGTCAGGGTGAAGGTTTGAGTGAGTTTGTCTCAGTCATCTGTCCTGCACTGACCTGTTTCAACAGACCAGCCCACTGGGTTTCACTGATAAGTTCTTTTTCTTGTTGTTTTGCAGCCACCAGAGGACATTTGTTCTGGAGGTCATGGGCAGACACTGCGGGTAGGCACTTTTCACTGTGTTAGAGAGTACATCACAGAGAGACAAAGATACCACACACATGTTGAAGTTTAATTATGCTCAAGTCTCATTAGCCAAATGAACATCACCAAAAGTGTATGCAGACAACATGGAGCCGACCTGAAGTGTGGAAATATTGATAATACTGATGTGAGGCTCATTTGTTTGTGTGTCAGGCATGTTAGTCTGTTCAGGATGTGTAGATTAAATATTCCACACTAGATATTTGTTACAGAAAAAGGAAAGATACAAAGCACTTACTAAAATGTGTTTGTGTGTGTGCAGATACTTGGCCCTGGTCAGTGCCCTGGCATGTGGGGCAGATTGGGTTTTTATCCCTGAAATGCCCCCTGAAGATGGCTGGGAGGATAACATGTGTCAGAAACTGTCTGAGGTAACACATACACACACAGACACAGCAACACATTAGTAATACATAATTTACCACAGCTGCCATTTTAGCTGTTTCTGTTTCAAAAATAGCAAATAATTTTGTGTCTTCTGCATTTCAGTGCCATTTTAGGTATTGGACATTAAGTAATATCGTCATTCGGGTAGGAATATGCAATGCACACCAGAAGCTAAAAGATATGTGAAGAAGGGATTCAAACCCACAACTTTTGAAGTTGGGTTTTTCTTATAAAGAGGCTGAAGTGTATGGAAGCAGCTAGGAACAAAGATCTGTGGAAAGCGGATTAACTCAGATTTGTCTTTGACCATGCTTTCCATCTAAAACTCCCAACTCTGGTGGGACTCAAACCCACAACCTTTGAATTATGTTTGACTAGAAGTCTAACGCGCTATCCATTGCGCCACAGAGCCTGTTGTCTAGTTAATATTCAGTGCAGATTAATGTCAGATATCATATCTTGCTAACATTTCCCTTTTAGAAACAATTGTCTACTACATCAGTTGGTTGTTCACCACAAGATAACATTAATGAAATTTTAAGTAGGAATATGAAATGCTCACCAGAAGCTAAAAAGTATTGTTGGTAATGAAGATTTGTTTGTGACCAGATTTGTATGTAACAATGCTTTCCTGTAAAAGTAATGACTCTGATGGGAGAACCCACAACCTTTGAATTGCATCTCAACTATTTAACTAGAAGTCCAATGCGTCATCCATTGCGCCACAGAGGGAGTTGTCAGTTGCAGGGAAATAATTTGTACACAGTGTCTTCACTGGATAGTGTGTGGACCAGTAATCAAATTTCAAGTCGGAGTATGAAATGCACACCAGGAGTCGTTTAAAGGTTGAACCACATCAGTTGGTTGCGCTTATAAACCTGTTGTAAAGTCGCAGCTAGTTTGGAATAAAGATCCATGTAAAGCAGCAGTCACACAGATTTGTCTATAAACAACCCACTGATTTAGTGGTTAAGCTTTTCTGAAAGGGACAAGTTGAGTTGTGAGACCTGTTGTGAAAGGTCAACTGGCTCTGTGGCGCAATGGATAGCGCATTGGACTTCTAGGTGAATAGTTGTGAGGCAATTCAAAGGTTGTGGGTTCGAGTCCCACCAGAGTCGGACTTTTACAGGGAAATCATTTGTACACAGTATCCTCACTGGATAGTGTGGGGACCAGTAATCATATTTCAAGTAGGAGTATGAAATGCACACCAGAAGTAGTTTGAACCACACCAGTTTGTTGCTCTTATAAACCTGTTGTAAAGAGGTTGAAGTGTGCAGTCGCAGCTAGTTTGGAATAAAGATCCATGTAAAGCAGCAGTCACACAGATTTCACTATAAAGTTGACTATAGAGTTGTGAGACCTGCTGTGAAAGGTCAACTGGCTCTGTGGCGCAATGGATAGCGCATTGGACTTCTAGGTACATAGTTGTGAGGCAATTCAAAGGTTGTGGGTTCGAGTCCCACCAGAGTCGGGCTTTTACAGGGAAATCATTTGTACACAGTGTCTTCACTGGATAGTGTGGGGACCAGTAATCATATTTCAAGTCGGAGTATGAAATGCACACCAGGAGTCGTTTAAAGGTTGAACCACATCACTTGGTTTCGCTTATAAACCTGTTGTAAAGAAGTTGAAGTGTGCAGCTAGTTTGGAATAAAGATCCATGTAAAGCAGCAGTCACACAGATTTCTCTATAAACAACCCACTGATTTAGTGGTTAAGCTTTTCTAAAAGGGACAAGTTGAGTTTTGAGACCTGTTGTGAAAGGTCAACTGGCTCTGTGGCGCAATGAATAGCGCATTGGACTTCTAGGTAAATAGTTGTGAGGCAACTCAAAGGTTGTGGGTTGGAGTCCCACCAGAGTCGGGCTTTTACAGGGAAATCATTTGTACACAGTGTCTTCACTGGATAGTATGGGGACCAGTAATCATATTTCAAGTCGGAGTATGAAATGCACACCAGGAGTCGTTTAAAGGTTGAACCACATCACTTGGTTTCGCTTATAAACCTGTTGTAAAGAGGTTGAAGTGTGCAGCTAGTTTGGAATAAAGATCCATGTAAAGCAGCAGTCACACAGATTTCTCTATAAACAACCCACTGATTTAGTGATTAAGCTTTTCTGAAAGGGACAAGTTGAGTTCTGAGACCTGCTGTGAAAGGTCAACTGGCTCTGTGGCGCAATGGATAGCGCATTGGACTTCTAGGTAAATAGTTGTGAGGCAATTCAAAGGTTGTGGGTTCGAGTCCCACCAGAGTCGGACTTTTACAGGGAAATCATTTGTACACAGTGTCTTCACTGGATAGTGTGGGGACCAGTAATCATATTTCAAGTCGGAGTATGAAATGCACACCAGGAGTCGTTTAAAGGTTGAACCACATCACTTGGTTTCGCTTATAAACCTGTTGTAAAGAGGTTGAAGTGTGCAGCTAGTTTGGAATAAAAATCCATGTAAAGCAGCAGTCACACAGATTTGACGATAAACTACCCACTGATTTAGTGGTTAAGCTTTTCTGAAAGGGACAAGTTGAGTTGTGAGACCTGCTGTTAAGGGATAATTGGCTCTGTACCGCAACGGATAGTGCATTGGACTTCTACTTAAACAGTAGACTTAGAATTCAAAGGTCGTGGGTTCGAATCCCACCAGAGTTGCAACATTTACAGGTAAATCATGTGTACACAGTGTCGTCAGTGGATAGTGTTGTCTGACATCAAACACTTCCATTGTACACAGCATGTTGCCATACTTGTCATTGTCTATTAAAAATAGCAAGCCTTAATATGGATGTAGCAGGATATCCACTCACTGCAGCCTCTTCTCTTAAGATATGGTGTTGCTCAGAGGTTGTATTATAAATTCACAACGCTGGCTGAAGCTCCCATCAAGCGACACACCATGCTAATGAGGATTTCTGTGTGAAGCAGTGACTTGAAACCACAATCGAAATCTTGAACACCACATCAGTAGAATGTTCCTGTAAACATGTCCCAACCAGACATAGGACCAATTGTTTCCCTGTAAAACTCTTGACTCTGGTGGGACTCGAACCCACAACCTTTGAATTACATCTCTAATGTTTGACTAGAAGTCCAATGCGCTATCCATTGTGCCACAGAGCCTGTTGTCAGAGGAGTTCATCAGTAGACAATCTAACCTTTGCAGTTCAGAAGCAGTTAATTACCACAACAGAACCACTAATCAAATTTCAAGTAGGAATATGAAATGCACTCAAAGATCTTGCCGGTTATGAAGATTTGTGTTCACTTCAGTTGGTTGTTCTTGTGTGCAGCAGCATTTAGTTTGGAACAAAGATCCATGTTAAGCAGCAGTCACGGAATTGTCTGTGATGTGTTTCCTTGTAAAAAAAATTTCGACTCTGGTGGGACTCGAACCCACAACCTTTGAATCACATCTCTAATGTTTGACTAGAAGTCCAATGCGCTATCCGTTGCGCCACAGAGCCTCCTGGCTGTTTGTGTTTTATTAGCAGTGATCATAACTTGATAGGTTGTCCCTTCAGAAAGAGTTAACAGTTCTATGTCAGTGGTTTGTTTAACTCAACTTTTCTCATAGACACTGGTAAAGAAAAAACCTCACAACATTTACCGAAACACTGTAAACTAGGAGTGTCACGACTATTCAGTTTTACGAGTTGCAAGGTTTTGCAAAATAGTAGTTCAGCTACTCGCTCAGTAATTTACATTCACAAAGTCCTGAAAAATCTCTCTTTTAAATAAACTCGTCTGAGTAATGCCAGCGCAGAATAATAAAACTAACCGTTAACATTATATGTTTTGCATAAACTGATAGATTTGATGTTGATAACAGTGTTTGTTATCATCCAGAGCCGATCTCGGGGTTCCAGGTTGAATATTATCATAGTTGCTGAAGGAGCCATTGACAGACAAGGACAACCCATTACCTCTGATTTTGTGAAGGATGTGAGTAGAGCTCAGTCTCAGACTGATGCAGAGGGGAAACCAGAAGCTGGATTTCTTTTGGGCAGACAGACCTCACATCACAATTTCTTCAGCAGAAAATAATTCAGAAATTTAAAATATCAGCAGTAAACTTGATTGTCTGGGTGTCAGTGTGGTTTCTTTGTTGGGGAAAAGACACAATCCTGACACACTCAGTGGCCCACCTTGCTGTAAACTTCTCCCACAATGTGGCAGGTGTCTGCTGAAGAAAGACTTAAATTATCAACATGTTTGGGTGCTCTTCAGAAGTCAGTCAGAGATTATCCTCCATCACAGGATCCAGCTTTTGGGAATGCAAAAGGTTTTCTGTCATGTTTTTAAATGCTTCTGCTTCTTTATATCCTTCTAGAACCGTGCTGATAAGAAAAGGCTGAACATTATTATTGTAGCCGAGGGTGCCATAGATTGCCACAACAAGGCTATAACTCCTGATTATATCAAGGATGTAAGTATGTTGGAGAAGCCTGGTTATGTCACGGACCCACAAACTCTCCTTCAGAAGCATGGATGTTTTTTTTTTCCTTCACTGTGGGAACCTTTTAAATCCTATGTGTCCTTTGTTGACTTCACTTCTTTTTTTTTTTTTTGCATGTGCCATGTAAGTTATTTTTTTCATTTCTTTACTAAATAGTCCTCCAGGCTTTTAAACATTATTTTATTCCATTGCCCATCCCATGTCCATTTGCACCCTTCGTTTTTAACCTCTGCAAGTTCACTTCTGCATCTGCCGTTATTTGTCACTCACTAACATGACAGGAGATGTTTTGCATGATTTCTTCTTCTGTGTTTTTATGCTTGACATGTGTATGGTCCATTTTATTTCTGCATGTCCTTTAGATTATTTCATTTGAAGCAGCTATGAAAATTTACAAAGAATGAAGAGGCTGAGTTGTGATTTTCTATGTGTTGTAATCTGAAATGTTCAGAGTGAGGCCATTTAAATTAATCTCACAGCTCTTTTGTTTAATTGTACTGATTACATTTAATAATGTACAGTAGATTTTAATAGGACATTATTGCATGCATTTCCAATTGTTCTTTTTCCTCACGATCATCTCATGTTCTCTTTCCATACCCAGCTGGTAGTCCGCTGCCTGGGTTTTGACACCAGGGTCACTATCTTGGGCCATGTGCAGAGAGGTGGGACCCCCTCTGCCTTTGACAGGATCCTGGTAAGTCACAGTATCACTAACAGCACTGATCAGGAATAATGCAATGTAAAACGTGAGAGATTTTGTCTGCTTACTAACACTGCAGACATTCTGCTTCTCAACTTCTCAATCTTTACCCATAACCATTATTGTGGTAATATTGTGTGACCAGTCACCTTTTTAGCATGACCTTTAAATGACCCTTGTCATCTGCAGGCCAGTCGTATGGGCGTGGAGGCAGTGCTGGCGTTGTTGGAGGCGTCTGCGAACACCCCGGCCTGCGTCGTGTCTCTGGTCGGCAACCAGGCTGTTCGACTGCCACTTATGGAGTGTGTTCAGATGGTAAGAGTGTGTGGAGTGTGTGCTAAAGAGAGACAGAGGTCGTGCAGGGACCAGGTGCTGAGAGCAGTGTACAGTGCTGAGCCCTGAAAATGAGATTGTTCCACTACAGATTAGTCTTAAGCTTTTCCTGTAATGGACAGTTTAAGGTGCAAAATGACAATTGACAGTTACATCATTAAAAATGGATGTTTTGTATATATACAAGTGCTGCAAACGTCTGACTTTAAATAGACATTTAAATAAATTCAATCATGCTCCAATTCAGTATGATACACTAATGATAACTGATACTGTTCGTTTCATTCGATCACCAGGGTCACTATCTTGGGCCATGTGCAGAGAGGAGTGGGACCCCCTCTGCCTTTGACAGGATCCTGGTAAGTCACAGTATCACTAACAGCACTGATCAGAAATAATGCAATGTAAAAACGTGAGAGATTTTTGTCTGCTTATCTAACACTGCAGACATTTCTGCTTCTCAACTTCTCAATCTTTACCCCATAACCATTATTGTGGTAATATTGTGTGACCAGTCACCTTTTTAGCATGACCTTTAAATGACCCTTGTCATCTGCAGGCCAGTCGTATGGGCGTGGAGGCAGTGCTGGCGTTGTTGGAGGCGTCTGCGAACACCCCGGCCTGCGTCGTGTCTCTGGTCGCAACCAGCGGCTTTCGACTGCCACTTATGGAGTGTGTCAGATGGTAAGAGTGTGTGAGAGTGTTGGTTAAAGAGAGACAGAGGTCGTGCAGGACCAGGTGCTGAGAGCAGTGTACAGTGCTGAGCCCTGAAAATGAGATTGTTCCACTCACAGATTAGTCTTAAGCTTTCCTGTAATGGACAGTTTTAAGGTGCAAAATGACAATTGACAGTTACATCATTAAAAATGGATGTTACTTG